AGAGAAAAAGTAATGTATTACTCATATATGTATAATACGATCCAATATCACATTCACGCGATTCTCTGATTAATCCTGCATATGAATCATTTCCATAAATATTAATCAAAGATAATTAAGATTTAATTGTGTTTCCATCTTCCTAAGGACAGAACTATACAGTTGAACGTCAATTATCATTTTTATGGAAACGATCCTATTATGAGAGATTATATAGCACAGCTTTATTATATACGACATTTTTCATGTAAATATTATTATATACGTTGTGTTTTAAGAGTTTTACACGAGAATATACACCCGAATGCTCATCTACGCATATTAACTTCTTTCCTAGATATCTTAAAAATATCGCGAAGAAAATTCTTTTCTTTAAGGCGACTGTGAACGGTTGTAAACTGCGGCAAAAGCAATTTTTGTCTATTTTCTCAAAAACGTTAAGAATACCTTCGTTTTTTTATATATAAAATTTAATATAAAGTTCATAAAAGAACAAGATCTCACAATTTTCTATCAGAATACATTTGCAACAAATAGAGGAAATTATTAATAAAATAAGAATCAAACAAATTATATTTCTTATTCATTTACTCTTTAATACAAAAATCTTTACACAAGATTTACTTAAAGAGAATAAGAATGTACACGCGGTAATTAATTTTTATTGCTCTTGACGCTGTGTATGATAATAGCTACAATTAAAACAAATAGCGTTCCTAATAGTCCAAGCAGAAGCGCCATAAGAATCGTATCGATAGGTATCCAGGTTTCTCTCTCTCGAGTCAAAGCAGTAAACTCAGTTGTGGTAGGAAAACTGTATAAGCGATATGGAATATGATCGCAATTAACAATAGGTTCTTTTTGGATTTCGTTGAGAAAAGGATATATTGATGACTAAAATAAAAGAATATTGAAGAGTCCAACTCGTATCTCCAATCTTTAACATTTTGTATTGGAATATTTGCTTTAAAAATCAAATTTGCTTTAATAATCAAAAATGTGTGCTTTTAACAAGCAACATAATCCTTTTCTCTTCTTCTTTTGTTATGAATTTTCTGTATTATATTTAGACAAAAGTTTTTGCGTTTTAAAAAGAATAATGCAAGCATAAAAGAAAAAATTATAATCAGAGCTGGACGGATACACATGTCGAGTACATTTTATTTAAATATTTAATTCTTTTAACTTTCTTTTTGCAAAAAGTATTGAAAGCTTTATTGCAGTGCGTGATATTTAAATCGTTCAAACTTCTTCAGATACTCATATTCCTTTGTTCTCCTTTAAATTTATTTTGCACTTATTATATAAAATATGCGTCGATCGCATATTTTCTTGCACAGCCCTGAATATAATTAGCAACGTGTGGAATGCTGACGTGCTAGTTTCCGTTTCCTCGGTAAGCTCCTTGAAGGACAGCGCAATAGCATTATCCAGATCCTTTCCCAATTGTTTGAAGGCTGTTTTGCCGAGCCAGTCGGCGAGGTCGTTGCGATTTAGCTGTCGGAGACGATGCACAATCGCTGCGTGTGTTTTCCCTCTGCCCTCCCCGGGGGAATTATTCCAATGTAACAATTGACGCAGGCAGGGAATTTCCTCGTCCACTTTGCGCTCTTTCATACGTGAAAATTACCGAGTGTTAGATATCATATGACACGTTTGATCGATCAAATAATTAATAAGATGCAGAATTCAATGTTCAAGGCTTAAAGTGCAAAGATTACAAATCGCTCGAAGGGAAAGAAGGGCTAACCAGCTGCGGCGAGATTCTTCGGTAAATCGTATGTTGTGTAATGAAGCGCGGCGATCAATCGACGACACTCGAACGGATCCAATCGTGCCGCGAGATATTCCAATTCGCTCAGATTCACATCTATTGTGCCGCGAACTCTTGACCCAAAAATCATTGCGCTGATTGCGACGTAAACACCGATTACCCAAGATTGCATTTTTTTTTTCAAACTCGAGGTTAGAGGTAGACGTATTTGCACAAATAGAAACAAAAAATCATCATTTTGTCATCTTTTTTTTTTTTTTAATTCGGAAAGATGCTTTATTCAGTCGTTTACGCGTCAACAACTCTTTCCTTGTCATGTCTATCTCTTGAGTCTCCGTCTCCTCTTTTTCTTTGGGCAACATTTGTAACAAGTGATCGGCGATGCATTCTCCGATCTCTCCTGTTCCCGGGCGATGATCGGCGTGGTGAGTTCCTTTTCGGCATGCACCACGTCTGGCGAGAGAGTTCTCTTCCGCTTTTTCCGCAGTTTCCTCGCGCTGCCCCGCTTCTTTCGTCCTTCTTCGATGTCAAAATGTTTTCTAAACATATTTTGCAGACGAATCATTTGTTTGTCTCATTATATCTCAGAGTCAGATTGAGAGATGACTTTCTCTAAAATAACATGTGGGACATGTTTGATACTGACTCTTTTTTCTTCTTCCCCGTGAGCTTGTTACAGAGTCTCGCACACTTGTTTCTCACACATAGAGCACAGCAACAGCTCAAGATTATAATAGCGATTACGATGCCTCCAGCAATGTGCAAAGATAAGCAAATCGGTTGACGTCCTAAAAGTGTATCGTGTCGTCTGTGTGAGTCATCGTTGCTTTAAAATTTTTCATTTACCTGATAGATTTCGATTTACCTGATAAAATATCGGAGACGGTCGTATCGGTATCATTCATGCCTTCGTGTTTTCAAGTGTTTTGCATACCATCCTGCCCTATCGTTTCGACAAATATTAATAGCAAAGAGCAATTGACATTTTGCGCGGTTAGAATCGAGATATGTAACGAATAGAATATCGAAATATTATGCACACGTAAATAACACATATCTGACTAACATCACGTTTTTTTTGTTGTTTGTGAAATTTTATCGATATATTGCAAAATATGTAACCAAGTGGAAGTTTCGAAGTAATAATCATGCAGCAAGAAAGAGCGAGAGAAGAAGATAAGGGAGTGACAAGTCATAGACATTATGACTTTATTTAAATATAGCGTGTATATATGTACAATTTTTTTCCATAATAATGTAATCTTCGTTAATCACAGTGTTTCTTAAATTAAAGTTAAAATAATAGTAAAAAGAAGCATATACAATTCTTCAGCAAAAAAAGTATACATATAAATTCCGTAAAAATCATGCCACACAAAGAAACGTATCAATGATTAAATTTCTTGACAGGTGCCTTTTTTCAAAAGCTATGCGTATACAATATCTGTATTGCAAAATTACAGATGGATGAACATTTTATTCTTTATAAACTTGAGCAAGCGTCAAAAAAATCAAATCTAACATTTTCTTCCAAGCCTCTTGCACTTCCGGCGTATATTGCTTCCCAAATACAGCAGGCAAGAGATTCGTCAGTACCTGTTTCAAATTCTGAAAACAATAGTTATTTTTTTAGCTAGGAATATATGCAATTGATAAATATCAAAGACAAACAAATTGATTGGAAAAAGTTAGTTTCAAAATAAAACTTCAACATAAAAAACGCAACATTATAAACTCAGTCTTTTTTACATGGCAGATTACCTTAAAATATGGGTAATTCATAAATAAAACTTTAAATACAAAATATATTTATTTTATGTATGAATAAAACGGATTTACTTACCTGAAAATGTTCTAGCGATTGTCCGCGGTCCTTGTGTCTTTCAGCCAAAGAAAGCAGAGTTGCTTCCATTAATTCTGGATCGTGTAATTGATCGATCGCATTGCTAAACGCCGATATAATATTCGCACAGTGTGCTTGAAATCTCTTATTTTTCGGCAAATCGTCGAGAGGAATATCTTTAAATAGTTTAAATTGATTTTGATATTCCGGATGTTGCTTGAAAAGACTACAAAGAGCGATTTCAAGTTAAATATTAAATTTACGACCAATACGAGAAGTTGTAGAAAGATTTGTGTAAAATTGTTTCATAATTGATCCATCATTATACTTATATAGAATTATGATGTAATGATCAAAAAAATATTAATAATTATAATAACGATAATTGACACATGATTCTTTGAAAGAAGTTAATATGCTTGAGCAATTAGTTATTCACTTTGTATATACCAGCTAGATCAGCTATTTTTATAATCTGTCAGAAAAGTTATAAAACAAATTTTTTTTAATCCGTTGTCTTTAAGAATTTTATTTTATCTGATACCGCGTAATAATTCCTTATATTTTTCTCTTATATTTTTTTCGCGCATCTTAAAATAAAAATATCTATGATCTACGAGCATCGTAATCCGGCACTGACGGACTTGATTACATTATCGCTAATCTAATGATCTTGCGACATCCACTTAATAAGCAAATATGCCACTTAAAAGAAGTACGGAGGCGTCCTACATCTTTTATAACCTTACACTTCTATTCACAGCATCATTCGCTTTAATATGCTATGGATGTGATTTTAAACTATAAACAGATCTGATGGCGCAACAATTTAATTTCGTCTTGCAGGAGTAATAGTTGCATAGCAATTCCATTAGCGATGAAACTTTCATAACGCGCATTCAGCCACATCTTTTGCGGCGTATCGCGATGCGCAGTACGCATTAACAAATGTGAATGATTTTCACGGGACGTGAGAGTATTCAACGATGAAACCGTAAAGCGTGACATGGATTTTCGATGATGCGAGGTATGCGTCGACGATTCATTAAAATGAATAGCGTGTTAGAATGCGGAAGCTTCTCAAATGGATGAACTCTGAATGCTCGAGAGAATTTTTAACATGTTGTGACTATTGTTTATTCTTTATCTCTGAGATCTAATAAAAAATTATTTAATAGTATTCTCACGGTATTGTGTTTCAATCGCGGATTATGATTAACTTTACTAACTTTGATATGTCGTTTCAGATACTGGCCTACGTGAATAGTTGGATCAACATACAAAAAAAAGACTATAATTCACTCACGCAGTCATAATGGCCATTCCAGACGAGATTTCGTCTTTACGAACACTCGCCCATGTGTTTTGTACCAGCTTTTTTTGCTTTCCGGTCATGCCGGTTTTCTCATCTAACTTATTATCGTTTTGAAAAAAATCGAGTAGGCCACGGAACAACGCCATGCTGTATCACACTGGAGTGGAATCTGATCTATGAAAAACAGTTGCACGTGTTAAACAGGTGTTCCACAAATGATTCCCAATCAAAACTAATCGTGATTCAACTCGTACAAAAAAATATATAATGCTTTAATTTTTGTGTTATTTTGTATGCATCAATTTTGACTATTAATCGATAATTTAATATTTCATATCGTTTAGTTGCGTAACATTAACGTAAAAATATAATGAAAAATGAGACACAATTAGAAAGTGATTTCAAACACAAAGATAAAATTAACAAAATATTTAGACAAAACAATAGCCAATTTTATTATTTTAACTTTAATGCTGTAAATGATTCGTCTATCAAATAATTATCTTTTAATATAAAAAGTATGTGATTAAAATATAACAAAAAAAAATAAATGAATAAAAAATATACTGTTATATATTTTTAAATTCAATATTTTTGCAATACATGTGGAACATTTATACCACATTGTGCAACAATAATTTTGATCCAAGCACTTGCAAAAAAAATATTGTTATCATATATCACGTATAAAATTTATCTATATGCATAAATATGCATAAATATGCAAAAATATGCATAAATATGCATCTGATGAAAAAATTGCAAATAATTTCATAGAGAAATAACTTGTTATTAAAAATGCCAACATATTATAACCACTTTATGTTTTTTTAGATAAATTAATAAAACGAAATATATTCATACGTAAAAAGTAAAATTATGCCAGAATATCCATCAGTAAAAAAAACAAAAAAAAAGAAAAAAATAACAGTAAAATACAATTCAAAATCAAATATCGTTTAGACATTTATAAAATATATCGTCTTCGATATTAATTTATATCTCGTTTCTGACAATCTCGGCATCGTGATTGCTTAACGTATTTACGAAAAAAGATTGAGCGAGCAAAGATAACTAATCTAGTACCAGGCAGAGCAAAGAAAAAATGAAGCACTCAGAAACACTGCGCGAGCAACTACAGACTGACACGACAAGGCTCGCTTATCAAGAATCCAATTATTCTGTAATTCAGTATGATATGTCACGTGCCACGCGTGGACACCAGTCAAGCAGCGACTACTCGATGCAGCTCTCGGTCCGACTGTTTTAAAGTCGTCCCCACTCCACTTCCGAAGATACCCAATAAAGAAATTGCGTTATACAATATATGAGACATTCCAAACTTGGTAAACTCAGCTATCCTCAGAAATTTTAATTAATTAAAACAATAGCATGTAATGCATAGCGAAAAACGAGCAAAGTATTATTCTATGAACAAACCAGCAAATTAAGTTTGATGACAGCAATGATGATAGCAATATGCGGTATAACATTTTCTCTCAAGGTAAGAGATTAAAATTAATTCATCTAATTACATGTAAATAAAGATGCAATGTCTAGTTTTACATATTTTTTCGTTTCTTAGTCTAACTATTATAAAAACTTTCAAAATCTTGAAAAGAACGCGAAAGTTTCAAATAACGTGTATCACATCTTATATATTTTATTATATTTTAATAATATTATCTCTCTCTCTCTCTCTCTTTTATGCAGAGATTAATATTAAATTATTATTTTATCATCCACAAAATCTTCATACTCCAAAGTACATATTAAAAATAATAATTGAAAAATATGAAGATTTATATTAAAATAAATAAATTTTAGAATATTTTTTTTTATGTAATTAAATAAATTAATTTTCCATAGCTTCTAAAATTTATTTAATAACATAAAAAATGTATTATAAAACTTATTCATTTTAAAATATTAATCTCTATATTTTTAAAATATTATTTTTAGTATTTAATACTAAGTATGTAATGTGTGTAATTTAAAGTATAAAAACTTTAGATAATAAAAATAATTGTGGTTTAATTAAAGTCCATTTATTAAATTGGTGCCTTCTAATATACGTAAAATGTTTTAAAAAGCAAACTCTGCCTATTTGTTCACTGTCTCAAATATTATAATCAATACAGCTAATTGCAGAATAATTGCGAGATAATTAAGAGCTACTTACAGAACGGCGACATATGTGCACGTACTTGATGATGATTATTAACCAAACTTCGCTGTTTGTCGATGATAACTTGAAGTATTTACGAAGATTTTAATCGAAACACAGCTTCGGGAATACAGAAGCAGACTCCGGGCACTAAAATCGAAATATTGTCATATAATAATTATTGCATACAATGTTTATATGTTACGACAGACACTTCACAAAACACTTTCAACAATCTCTCGCGCACGAAATACATTTTTAGACAGAAACAATCGCGAAAAATACTGAGTAGCTTGAATATGACGAATATGACTCTGCTGCAGTGTTTTCCACGACTAGTCGCGATTCGAGATCTATCGAAGAACGTTATTACGATTCTCGAAGCCGAAACAAGATTGCAATATTGATAATTACATATGTTCGTATTGGTCACACTTTCTATTCATCAGAATTAGTATCTACATTCAGTTTTCTAAAGAAGGAAAAAGCAAAGGAGATAAATATAAAAAATACAGATAAAACAAAAAAATTATTGTTTGATATAGAAATAAAACTTGAAATATTTAAATAAATATAAAAAATGGTTGAAATTGTTACAAATTGTTAAATTATTACAAATATTTTAATTCTTGCAGTTGTTATAAAACAGCGGAATATATATATATACCTGATGATAATCGTACATCAATTGCATTGTCACTGGAAAAAACAACAACGTAAAATATACAAAGAGAATTTCGGTCACTTCTCTCAAACGGAATTCGCCAAGATTAAAATAGCATCATTGACGTACATTTGTTACTGCACACAATGTTTGATATATTACGATACTTTATAAAAGACACTCGCGATAACCTGCTGCATGCGAGACATACTTTAAATAGTAACAATCCTAAAAAACGCGGGACGATATGAAAGCGGTTTGTCCGTTGCGACGCAATTCTCGAAGCGGTGAATAAGAACCAATCGCAGTACGTATGGCCTCTTGCACACAGGACGCGGCAGCCAATCAGTTTTTCGCTCTTATGAAAAAGTTGTAAGTTGATTGGCTACCGCGTCGTCTTTTGCCGCGCGGCAAGTTGCCGCATCCTGTCTGCAAGAGCCTTATAACTACATATATTCATATCAATTGCATTTTTTCTTAATATGAAATCATGATATATGTAACTTTTCAAGGAAGCTGAAGCAATAAAAGAACGAAATGTGTGTACATACCTGATGATAAGTGTGCACCAAATATATTGTCGTTGCATTTCGAGGAAAAAACAAGATCGAAATATACAAGGACAATTTCAATCGACTTTACACGAACACACAAAGACAAATCTCCAGTATCGAAATAAAGACATGGCGCATAGAATAGCAATTGCACGCGATATTCGATATGTTATGACACTTGATAAGAAACACTCGCACGCGATTCGCTTTTCAACGACAACAATCGCGAAAAATACAGAGCGACTTGAATACGTTCCGTTCGTCGTGGCGCCATTCCGGAAATGACCACAAACCATATTTATAGAAGAGTGGTTCCCAAAAGTATCGTGAGAGGACTAGCAAACAATATCAACTAAAGTTCCTAGAAAACACTTTCCTATTGCAGAAATATTAAGATATATCGGATGTCAAACACAGTGTGAATCTTTCAAATCTATAATCCTGGGCTTACTTGTGTACGCAATTTCGAATGTTCGTTATTGCGTATTACGTGTGTTTCAGAGTAGATATTTAAGAAGAAAAAAGAAAACGAATGTTTATATAAGATATAATCTAGTCTTATACATATTGGATACGGATCGTGAGTTTTCGAAAGGTAACTTTAATATTTTCTTATTATATTAACATGTGATTGTTACAAAATACAAAACCTTTTTTTGAAGAGTTACAATTTATATCTATTTTCTCTCTCTCTCTCCTTCTAGAATTGCCTTGTAGAATTGTTGGAATTGCCTTGTGCAATCGTAAGAAATTTAACTAGAATAATTGATAGTTGATTTATTCTTAACCTTTTTCACTTTACAAAAGCTCAAGAAATTTGTAAAACATGCTATAATCGAAATTTCTAAAATTACTGTAAAGCTTTATTATTTAATATAAGATTCTAAATATCTAATGTTAATTAGGTCAACAATTAAGTCACAATAATGGATGAAAAGAACGATTTGGTGCACAGTATTTTGAATATGCGTAAGTCAGACCAACTTTTCAAAATAGAAATGTTACGCCCTTCATGTCGAAGACAAGTAACAACAAATGTTAGAGATAAAGGATTAAGTTCTTATTTAGTTGGCCAATCTAGCAAGGAATCAGAAACAGACTATGCACAAAAATATAAACAACAAGATGATGAAAAATATTTACAGGTAATATATGTACAGGTAATATATGTTGCAATATGTAATAATGTTGACTGCTTTATTAATGTAATCATTTTTTACAGTCCATAAACAACATGCTTTTTATGAGAAATGAGCATTGGGATAATATGTCTGATATTACTGCATCTTCAGAGATCCTTCGCATGACAAAAATAAATACTGCTCAAATTTATCAAACATACAATTTTGCTTATCGACCTAAGATTGAGTTACCTATTTTTTCTATGAGAAATAAGATTGTATCTATGATTGCAAGTAATTCTGTCACTGTTATTCGTGGCTCCACAGGCTGTGGAAAAACAACACAGGTCCCTCAACTTATTCTTGATGCTGAATTCCAAAAGAAACAACACTGTAACATTATAGGTATTTCTTGCTTGAATTTAGATTGCGATAAACATTAGCAATTGTAGAGTGTTATAACTTTATTAAACTTTTTGTTATACATATATCAAAATCTTTGTACTTTTGTAGTGACACAACCGAGACGTATTGCTGCAATGAGCATTGCAAAACGAGTCAGTCAAGAAAGAGAATGGCCCGTTGGTACAATAGTGGGATTTCAAATGGGCTTAATTAAAAATACATGTTCCGACACTCGTATAACTTATTGCACAACTGGTGTGCTTCTGCACAAACTTATAAATAAGAAACATATGTTGGACTACACTCATGTTATATTGGATGAAGTGCACGAACGTGATGAAGAAATGGATTTCCTTTTGCTCGTAGTCAGGAAGTTATTACGTACAAATTCACCATTGGTTAAAGTTATATTGATGTCTGCAACAATTGATGTAGATAAATTCGCTAAATACTTTTCCACGCCTGTGGAAAATAAACTTTTACCAGCGCCCATTATTGATATACCAAATCGTAGTCCTTACAATGTTTCTATATATTACTTAGATGATATGGAAAATTTAGGTAATGTAAGTATATGTTTTCCAAACACAAGGAAAAATACATTTCAGTATTTAGAGATAAACGCAATTAATATCTATTGATATAGAGATAGAAGAGAGAAAAGGAAGTACTGTGTTAATCGAATTTTTTATTTTTGAATCTATGACTTGTAATTATTTCAAGCATCATTATTTTTATACACCAATAAACCTTTGTTAACTTTTCAAAGATAGAATATTATTAACAATACTATTAATAAATTATTTATTTTTTGTTTCTTCCTTTTCTTACGCTTTTAACTTTAGAACTAATTATACTGTGAAATATAATACTATGAAAAATGTATTTTTGCACAGATACCTGAAATATCGAAAGATGAACCAAAATTTACATTATATATGGCGGAGTTTTCTGCGCGCATCATACATATTTTTGATCGAATCGACAAAAAAAGTAACAATGAAGATAATCCATGTGACAGGCCTGCTGTATTAGTATTTTTGCCAGGAATCCAGGAAATCGAGGATTTACGTAGTGTGCTTTCGTCAGAAAAAAACGCCGATTTAAAATGGGATATAATTGTTTTACATTCGTTGATCTCAACTGAGGATCAAGAGGCTATATTTAAAAGGCCAACGAAAGATTATCGACGTATCATACTATCAACTAATATTGCTGAAAGTAGCGTCACTGTACCCGATGTCAAATACGGTACGTTATTGTCAATAAAAAATGAACGATAGTCATTTATGTGTTAGAATTGTTGAACATGGGTGAACCGAAAGCTCTTCTCGCTTTTTCTCTGGATTCACCAAACCTCAGTAATTTACGAAGCACTATATTATTGTTAAAAGAAGTTGGTGCGTTGCTTAATAAGATCAATAACGCACAAAAATACGCCAGGGACTTGTCACCTTTGGGCCATGTGATGGCCTCTCTTCCGTTAGATATACACCTGGCAAAATTGATGAATCGATGAAACTTAATATTCATCTTTTTTTCTCTTTCTGTTTAGTAATCGATTTTTGTATGATGAAACATCTCATCACTGAGCCCGAAACCAATTTCCAGTGTCTACAACTCTGTTGGGCGAGTAAATCAAATTGTCAGCAACGTGCCGGTCGTACAGGCCGTGTGATGGATGGTAGAGTATATAGAATGATATCGAGAGAATTTTACGAGGTAAGCATCAGTTTTGCATGAACAATATCACTTCCAGCGATCTTCCCGTCAAATTATCCTCACTTCGAAGGACAATTGACAAATTATACCACTCTGAAAATTGCAGAATACGCTGCGCAGTGATGCTATTCCAGAAATGCTCAGAATCCCACTCGCAAATGTGATTCTCAAGACGAAATTGTTGAACATGGGTGAGCCGAAAGCTCTCCTCGCTCTTTCTCTGGATCCACCAAACCTCAGCAATGTACGAAGCACTATATTATTGTTAAAAGAAGTTGGTGCGTTGCTTAATAGGACTAATAACGCACAAGAATACGATGGGGACTTGACGCCCTTGGGCCACGTGATGGCCTCTCTTCCGTTAGATATACACCTGACAAAATTGATTATTCTGGGTTATATCTTCGGTATTCTGCAGGATGCGATTATTATCGCAGCTTCCATGTCTGTTAGGGAAGTGTTCAATATCAATTTTAACTGCAGGGGATCAACCTATCAGCAGAAGCTGCATTGGGCAGCTAATTCCGATAGCGATAACTTCGCGTGCTTGAACGCGTACAAAGTGTGGCGAAACGAAAAAATGCAACGCCGCATAACGAGCAATAACCAGGAAAAGCAATGGGCGCGTGAAAAATATCTCCGTTTGAAATCACTGCGTGAGATCGACGCCCTCATAAACGAGATAATGTGCAAATTGCGCAATTTTGGTATAAAAGAGAACGTTGATAAACTAACGTGGGAAAGTCTCCACGTTAATCGCATTCTTGTTACAAAAATTGTAATTGCCGGCGCATTTTATCCAAACTATTTCATTAAGTGCCCGAACACGGAACGTAGCAAAAACATTGAGAAAATGTTGTCCTCGCGCAATCCGATGAATACTGTTATCCTACGAGGATGGCCATTGAATCAACCTGGACCGCTGTATTCAAGGAGGTTCCAGGAAATTTTTGGACACCTCTTGGCACTCAAAAATAAGGAAGACATAACAGTGTCTTTCGACGGTTCGTCTCGCGTTTACATCGAATATGACAATAAGAATCGCCTACCGAACCACTGCTCTTTTGTTCAAGATTGCATTAAGATAAGGCAGTGTCGGATTCCGATCGAAATACATTTGTTAAACGAGATAGAATCTCATCGCCGATTCAAAGAACTTGGATTTAGCACAAACTACGGAGAAAAATGTGTCATGCTTGATTCTTCGAATCCGCAAAAACCATCAGCCATACAATATATGTACAATCAAAAACCGTATCCGGAGTTACCGAAACAGACTGAATATCGAACGTCGGTGGTATTGCAAGGTCCAGAATCGCCGATAGAGGCTGAAGTAATTCATCTGACCAAAGTCGGAAAGATAAAAAAAGTGATTATAGAGTCGTCGTCAGTCAATTCTATCTTATTCGACACTTGTCCGGATAGTCCGTCAGGAATTTTTCTAGTGGCGCAAACCATTAGTCGGGATCGATATATGTCGCGCTTAATTCTGCGAAATACGACTCTCTTGCCCAACACGCCTGGTCTTGCATCATTGATACCTTTAATTTTTACCCCATATATGGAGCTAAGACGTAGTCCTCTGGGAACTTATTACACAGGCGCTCTGTGTGGACTAGGATACGACAGTTCTACAGGGAATGGTTTATTCCCGGAGCACGATATGGAAATTACATTTGACGTTGAGATCACGAAGGAAGATTTGGGAATGGTACGTACGAGTTAATTTATTTAATGTTATGGTATATAATATGGATATTTCTTTTGATTCATTTAGACAAAAATATCCCACACACACATAATAACTTACAAAAATTGTATAAATTTTGTTGACAGATAAATAAACTGCGTCACTGGATGAATGTTGCTATGCAATTCAGTGATGTAACAGAGAACAATTATGAAGACGACAACATTCTGACTGAGCAGACTATAAATTGTCAGAATCACATTAAAAACACGTTCAAGAAACTGATATATAAAAATCGTCAGATGCAACAGCCAGTTCTAATTACCAAGTTCGACAAGTGGAATCGATACGACGAAAGTCTATTTCTCGAGCCTGCTCGAGAAACTTTGAGGAGAAGCTATGTGTACGGTTTGCACAAGGCATTGGAGTTGAACACAATAAACGACAAACTTGAAGAAAAGATCAAGCATCTGTTAGAATTAGAGACTTTAGCTCACGAGTATGTATATATTTTATTACTGCAATGTTGAAAATCTATTAACTCGTTAAATTATTTCAATTTCGCTTTTCTTCGCAAGAAATTATATATGATATTTGGAAATTACATATTTAACAGACGAAAATGTATTTAATCAAATGCTAATAATTTAATTTATTAATAATAACTATTAATATTTTATCTTCTATTTCTCTGTTTACAGAAACCCGCTTGAGACAAGTATTAAGCCTGTTTTTTGCAAGTTATGTTCAATGGAAATATGTGGTATTATCAATCTTCGTGCACATTTGTGCTCAGAACAGCATACAATGAAGCTGAAAATGATAGATACAACTGCTGAACTTGGAGAAGATCTACAAAGCTTATTAATGAAAATGAGACTGTAATGTGAGATGATAGTAACCAGATTCTATTTTTTTTATTTCTTTTTTATTTTAATTTTACGATACGTTAAAGTGCAAAAATTAAGTTTATCTAATTGAAAGGATATCATGTCTTTTACCTGAATATATACATTAATAACACGCACACACACAAAATATACGTTTATATATATGTATGAAACAATTTATTTTAATGATCAAAAACTTGTACTTATATTAAAAATTTAAAGCTTATTGTAAGTGCAATCAAAGAAGACATTACTATAAAAAGGAATAATTATTTTTGTTTAGCTTTACTTCATAATTAAACATGTGCAATTTTTTTATGTTAACGTTTTAAAGTTGACTTACCAATATATAAACGTACAAAGATATATAAGCGTTCTATAAATATATTCGTGATATCCAATGTGATGTTTTTATTATACATTTGCATACGTTTATCAAATACAATCAAATTTTTATATCTTTAACCCTTTCAGTACTAAAAGTGACGATTATTGTCATCCACATCGAGACGACCAACTCCGTCGTACCGAAAGGATTAATTTTCTTGTGTTGCTTTTCTATTGTTTTACATTTGCTAAGTAATCAAATAACATAACTGTAAAAATAAAAAAATGTGCCATGTAAGAATAAAAAAAATGTAAGAAGACCAAGAATAAATCAATTAAAAATGAAGATTTGATTTCACATGATGAAATAATGATTGTTAAATTTTTAATTGCATAGTTTTCTCTTTAACATTCTTATTCACACAAGATATATCTTGCAATAAATTTTTATTCATTTATGAAACATCTTTTGTATAAATTATTATTAAAAATCTATATAATATTAAATTATATTAACAGTGAAATAATATCGAGATTATATTATGTAAAAGCAAAACATTTTTAAATAATTATACAAAGATTAGATAATTGTTATTTATTTTGTTAGATTTTTTAAAATTAAACTTCAAGCATATATATGTTCAAGCATATATATATGTATATCTATATACATACATGTATGTTTTTTTTAATTCTAAACTTAAAAAAACTAATTTAAATTTAAAATTTTAAAAAATAACAAATAAGAAATATTTTATTTTGTAGTATTTCTTTAATTTCTTGCATGAGTAAGAATGCGTTTAACAAACAGACAATAATTATTAACAAGAGGACATCCAATCTACGACTTCTGGGATTTGGCCGAATTTTTAACATGTTATTGTGCACCTTCCACTAACCTCCACTGTACAGTACTCTGCCAGTGCACAATAGTTTAAAAAATAATGACGTGACACATATAAAACTTTAAACAATTATATCTTTCAAACTGTTGTACATTGGCAAGTAGATGATAACATTAAAAATTCGACCAAGTTCCAGAGATCAAAGGATGTCCCCTTGTAAGTCAAAAAACCTTTTCACCAAATAAATGAATAATATATTATTCACTTATATTTCTCGTTGAAGATAACGAGCTCCAGGTTGCGTATACAATAGCCTACCAGGTACATTGCCACCTGAACTACTGACGTAAGTACCAGGTGATGGTGGCGGTGGCGGTGGTGGATAAGGACCAGGTGGTTGAGGTGTTCGTACAGGATAACCCGAAGTAATTCCTCCCGTTTTCGCACCCTGTGAAATTAATAATTAAAGATTTTAATGTATGCAAACATACATCAACACATTTTATGGCTACAAAAATTGCTATCAAATTTAAAGTGCATGCTTGAGATTATATCTCTATTTTGTAAAATGTAAGAATATGGATAAATGAGTACAGTATTTAAGGATTTGCTTTCCAGCAAAGAACACAAGTAGTTAGTCAACAATTTCTGGAGTGGTTTTTATAGTTTGATTTTATATTCAAGATAGTTTTAAATACGATCTTATGTATGATCTTAAATTCACAATTATAAGGCAGAGAATTTCTTATTTGTCAATTATCAATCTGTGTACCACTTTAAAATTGAATTAAAGACGATTTTAAATGTAAGACTGCACTATAAAAACCATTCGGTCAGAAATTGGCTCATGTCGACATATATTTCTTCTTGGAAAGCAATTGAGAATTACCTGAGGTGGTTGTTGAATGGGAATAGCTCCACCGTGAACAGTGACGTGATTTGTCGGTCGCAGATAAAATTTATCCTCACCGTAAGCACCTTTATGTTCCATTGAATGTAAATTAGTTACATATGCTGCAAAACGAAATATGTTGTCATATTGATTCCTGTTTCTCGTTTTTATTTAGAAATTATCTTGGTTTTAATAATGGCATCATTTTTATTTATAATTTGAATAATTTTTTTCTCTTTCTCTTTGAATTAAGCACATGAAAGAAAGCGAGACAATGGAAAAGTGAAAAGAGAAAAAGAGACAATAGAATCTATTTGTTTAGGCTATTTTGATAAACACATTATTACATAAAGATTTACTTCGTTTATGAAATATAATATATATTAATATTTAGGATAGATAGGTGGATAACAAGGCTGCGTTCGAAAACCTCATTCCGTGTGACTCTGTCACACAACGTGGTTTTTTTCTAAACGCAGCTTAAATATATTACCAGTCTGATGTGTGGCTAGTGGAGTTCTACCTCCCGAAAGATAAACAGCTTTAGGTGGTTCTGATTCTCGGGACGGTTGTGATACAGGCGTAGAATAACTGTAAACATTCTGGGCTGTGGGTGTCGAATAAAAATTCGATGCGGAGTACTGATTATTTTCTGTCAAGTAAAAAGAATATGTAACATGAGTATTTGTTAACATAAAAATAGCAGAAAACGCCTTCATATTTTTAAATGAAAACAGAAAGAAAAAATATGTTCACTTACTGTTCCAGAGAACGGCCCTAGAATCACTAGATCTTCTAGCAGCTTCTTCAGATTCTATATAAATACATCTACATTTAATATTATTTTTACGATTTAACCATTGTAACAAAATAACATTATTTCCAAAAATCAATTTGTTAATATTGTTTTTTTTAAATTTTGATAATCATCTCAACGTACGAATCATAAACCTATGTGTGTAATAAATCGTCATAGTCATAACCCACATTGCTCGGTATACTTACTAGATGGTGCAGAATTGTAATAAATTGTCATAACCCACATTGCTCAATATACTTACTAGGTGGTTCAGAATTGTATTAATTGTCATAACCCACATTGCTCGATATACTTACTAGGTGGTTCAGAATTGTAATAAATCATCATAACCCACATTGCTCGATATACTTACTAGGTGGTGCAGAATTGTAATTTGGAATGGGTGGTGGTGGTTTAGCATAACCATATGCAGTGTGATATGGAGTGGGTGGTGGCGATGGGCTATGGGTTCTTTTTATAGTTGCCTAAGAAATCGAGACATATTTTATGACAAAAAATATATAATTTATTGAGTCAAGATAGAATAAAAAATTATTTTTAAAAATTATGCTTACACTCTGTAACAGATGTGTTGGTGCACCAACTGCGACCTTATACAGAGGACTGCTGCTTCGTGGCAACGGTAAAAATAATTGAGGATGCACTACTCTTGGAGTTGCAGGATATCCTCCTACTGTTGTTAAAACTTCTGAGCAAACGCTAAAAAAACAAGACTTTCTTAGGTAAATCTTGTTTCTTTTAATCCTTATAATTCTTGAGCACTGCCTCTTGTAAGATTGTAATTGCCATGCAAACCTCGTCTCTTTTATAAGTTGTCGTCTTCTATCATCCTCATTTAGAACCTTCTTCAACTGTAAAAACAACTGATGCTTTTCTTCCTTCAATTGAGAGAGTTCATTTTCCAAGTTAGAGATTTGTTCTCGTGTTTCACCTAAAGTCATCACATCTTGCTTCTGTTGGCGCTCTCTCTCCTTACGTTGGCGCTCTTCCTCGGCATCGGCTTCTTGTTCTATACATAAGATGTACAACATAAAATGTAAGTTATAATACATACAATATAAAGCAAGTTATTTATTTTAGAAGAAGCTGTATATAAATGTATGTCCAAAAAATTGTTAAATTAGAAAAATTAAAACAAAAAATCACACAAGTTAAATGTTTCAGTTGTGAGAAAAAGGCAGGCATCTCACACATGCATACACAACATAGATTACCTTGTTTCTTTCGTTGCCGTTCTCTCATAATATGAGTCTTTAACGCTTTTTGCATATGCTCACTTCTACGTTGAGATGGCATAACTACTATCGCCGGCATTTTCTGTACTCTGATAATTCCTCACGCTATGTGAGTGTTATATATAGTATCACCTATTTACTGAATGATATAATTTGTTTCTTTATACAGTAGTGAACAGTTGCTATTACTTTAAGATTTCACATCTTGTAGCGAGTTGGAACTTGATAAATAATGACAAAATAACCTAGTAATAACACAATATAGTACTGTTAACTTTGACTATGAAAATATGGACTGATAGAGCCAACTTCATGTTGGTAACCAAGATCTATGGCGACACCGTGTGGCAACGGGGCCGCGAATAACTAAAGGCCTATCCAGACAAACTTGCATAGTCGCATAAACATATGCATAAGGAAATTGATTGGTCCATTTCCTTATGCATTTCCTTATGCCTTAAGGTGTATTTATTAATGCCTTAAGGTATATCCAGACAAACTTGCATAGTGCATAAGTATATGCATGAGGAAATGAAATGGTCTATAGTGGCATGATTGGTTATATACAATATTACTGTACATTCAATGTTGTCATATCGTGATATTTGTATATATTTAGTTTATCACAATATATTAAGAAATTTGTAATAATTAACGCGTAAATAATGAAAACTGAAGTGTACAATGATATAATAATGACAATTCGTAGTTTTCGAGGTTTGTCAAGAGATTGTGCCAAGATGCTAAAGGAAAAGTACACTAAGTAAGAATTTCTATTAGTATGTTTAATAAACTGAATATAATTGTTAATTAAATTTTTAATTATATAGCGACATTGATCTAAAAAAAATTATTTTTTAATACTGTTAACCATTAAATTATTTTAAATTAATACAAAATATCTCTTATTTATGCAGCATTCTCGCAAGTACATTACATAGCATTTTATCTCTAGAAATACAACAAAAAATGAAAACCAACCATGTAAGATTATTTGGAAACAACAAAAGTTATTATGACAGGTAATTTAGACTTAAGTAATTTGGACAAGATTATCATAGAAGAGATATACAGTGTTAAAGAAGAAAAATATATTTTTAATCTATTCATTGGTATTGTTTTGTTTAATTTTATAGTAATGTTATTTATCAATTTTAGCTATCTAGAGGCAGTTCAGAATGGAGAACCAACAGGTATTTTATTGAGAATGGCGAAAGATATTGATGCTGCACCAGCTTTATTAGCACGTAATGTCTTGGAAAAATACTGTATGCATGATGATGCAAATGGTAATAATTGAAACATACAGAAATAATGAAATAATTTACAAATATCTGTAAGAGCTAAAGATATAACACAAATTATTTCAGTTTCAAAAAATATAATCTCCAAGTTGTTCAAAGATACCACACTGATTGGAGATAAGGATCTTGCATACGAAATTTATTTGGTAATTAATTGAAGAAAATTATATACAAAGAGTAAAACTTTTTAGCAAATCTAATTCAACATATTTAATTACAATACAAATTATTAACATTAAACACATTTAAAAGAAAATTTTTCTAAAAAATTTATGATTTAATTTTTTTCTTACAGTGCATATTGTATGATGATCTGTATGGGCCAATAGCTGATTCAATGGGAATGTAAATATTATTGTATTTGTTAACAATTATTAACTTTAAGAAAAATGAAATCCATTTTCATATTTTTTTGTGATAAGAAATTACGATAAAATTACTTGTATGAGTTACTATAGAAGTTTATTAGTTTAGATACAATAGACTCATAAATTATAATAGAAAATTGTTTTTTTTTTCAGTTGCATAGGGCAAGAATACGAAATCAAACTGCAAGATAATCTAATACGAAGAAATATTGCATTTCGAAACGAAGAACAATTACGATTACGAGGATATGACAAGACTCCGGACATTAAGTTAGAAGTGCCGATCGCAGTGAATGGTTATGTGATAAACTGGATTGAATCTAAGGCACGATTCGGTAATACAGAGGTTCATCAAAAGTATATGAGAGAACAGTTCTTAAGTTATTGGAACAGATTTGGATCTGGATTGGTTATTTATTGGTTTGGATATCTTGAGAGCTTGAACAAATCGAGTGAGAAAAAATTCATTATAATGGATCATTTTCCAGAGAATATTACGTATATGGATCCTGCTTGTATCAAGCCCACAAATAGTACATGATTCTGGTTGAACATAATTGTATTTATACATTTTGTACAGTTTTTACTGATGATAATACACTTGAATTGTAAATAGATTTTTCAATAATATCTACTATAAATTAATGTTATACTATTGTCGATAAATGGATAATGAAATCACAATAAAATATTCACATTTTCTTTTTTTTTACATAAAACCTCAAATCCTCTTTTTACATTTAATAATATGTATCATAGTCGAATAAATGAGTAGACAGCAAAATGATATAATTATAAAAATTACTAATACATCTATGTATCTATATACATATATTACAATGTTAATGTTAAATTATATGACAAAACAAAGAACATCAGATTTAGCATCAGATGCTAGCAGTTATGAAATTGACGTTTTACTCAATAATATGTCTGTTTAAATCCAAATTCTTGAATAGAAAAGCATATAATAAATATTACTTTTGTCTGATATCGGATAATATTGAAACTAAGCTTATCAGATTTTATCTTTTTTTCTATTTTTATCGGACACTGTGTACTTATCATAACTTTTTGTAGGGTCAAAGGGTTCCCATCTACTTGCTGGAAAAATGTGTTTATTCCTTTCGTACCATGACCTAAAGGCATAAAGAAGATATGTTAAGACATGAAAGAAAATAAGAACAAAGATGCAATTGGATTATTTTTTTAATAATAAATACCTTAGTAAAACTTTCCCAGCGTGTGATTCTTCAGTTTCAACAGAAGCATCATGCATAACTCGAATGTCGTCGTGAACATCAAATGTAAACAAAGGTCCACTCTTTCCTCGTGCCTAATCATATTATATACGTTAAAATAAGATTCAAGCATTGTAATAGCATATTAATATTGATAAATATATCTAAATAGATCTAAATATCTTACCTTAGTTACGATAAAATCATAGAATGTATAATGATGGGGTAGTATAAGATCTTCCTTAACATACATTAATTGATCTGCCATTACTGTTTTAAGCTCGCTAAATTCACGCCTCAAAACTTCCAAACATCTTTGAAGAAGCTGATAAATGGAATTACCTATAGCAGAAATAAAAAGTTAGTAAATTTATATTTAGTAAAATTATTATATAACACATTATATGCTTAAAAATCTGCATATGTTGAAGCTAAAATATAAAATTTTTATGTCAATTTATACCAGTGCTCAGAATACAGGACAGACATTTTAATTTAATTATATACTAATAATCATTTATTATAAAAACAGAAATTATTTCTGTAGTGAGGAAAATATTAATAATATCATAAAAGATACAGGTCCTAGCTGCTTATCTCTTATACAATAGACGTTCCTGATTTAAAACATTAGACGCGCTGTCGGCGCAGCATCTGCTTGAGCGTCGAGCGGTAGTGGGGGAATAGGAGGCGTCGTCTCGGAAATTGGTTCAAAATGAGCAACTAATTCCAAGCACTGGTCTGTACATTGCTTGTATCACTTTTATATATGCCTTGTTTTAATAATAACTTGGTATTAAAGTATTTACCTTTCTTCATTATAACACTTCTACGATGGCCAGATCCATCCCAATAGCTGAATGTGATTTCAATCTCTTCTTCCTTTAGTGCATTCTGTTTTCTAGCCCATTCTTGCCTCAATTCTTCTCTAAGCTTATTTTCCTCCTCCTCTCTTTCTCTATCTGGTAAGAAACTTGTATCTACATCTGGATTCTTTTTTATTTTTTTAATTACATGTTTGTAACAATGCACATTTTCTGATTTCCCTATGCTGTCATCGTCAGAAATCTCAGCTTCTTCTTTCTCTTCTTCATCTTCATCTTCATCTTCATCTTCATCTAAATTAAAAGACAAAGCTTGAATTTGTCTTTTTTGTTTGTTCTTCTCTGCTTGTTTAGCAGCTAATGCCCTTTCCTTCTCTTGTTCTTTTTCTCGTTCCTTTTGAGCAAGTTTTCTTTCACGTTCTTTCACTATATTTTCTTGCTTGGCTTTCATTTCATTCAGTGTAACTAAACCAATTGTGGAAGTCTTTAATTGCTGTTCCACTGCATTATAATGAGTTGCAAATTTATTCTCTATATTATGAATCTTCAAGTCATCTTCAATTTTCTTTTTCCGCAATTCTATCTCTTGCTGTGCAATTTCTCTCTTCTTCATCAATTGCATTGCTCGGCCAGCTTCACTGGCTGCTCCTTTGTAGTGTGCCATATTTTAATCAATTACTGTTACAAACAGTATACAAGTCACTTAAAATCCACTGAATTCGTTATGAATATAAATTCTAAAAAAATAAAAAGCATAAATTTAATACTATTATTTTAAAATTTGATGTAATAGATATTATAACTAAACAAATAAACATTTTTCATTTCATCAAGATTTTCTTATTTGATTTTTATTCAAATTTAAATAAATCGTTATCGGATTATAAAAGGATAATGTATATTAATTATATTACAGTTACTATACAGTTACAGTTATTATACCGTTATGCATTTCTAAAATGTTCTCGAAAGCTGTATTGGCTTGCCGACAAATTTTCTAACCTCAAAAGACAAATCCAATTTTCTTTTTCAACCAAGCTCAACTTTTAATTTTTCAAACTTTGTTTTACATATAAAAAAGTCTTAAATGCGTTTTTATGCAAACTTTGAAATAAAAAAGATATTTTAAATATTTTCTTAAATCTTTTACTAATTTATTTCTTTCCACTTACCAACTACTCCATCAACAGCCTAAAGCCTAAATGTTCCTTGTTGCGTGACAAGCGTTACCTAGCGTTACCGCGTCCTGTACAGGGGTGCGTTCAAAAACTACACCTAGAGTGAAAGTCTCTATGTTTATTGTCTATAGTATACGTTACGTATACTATAGATAATAGACAAAGACTTTCCCCCGAGTGTAGTTTCTGAATGCACCGGGTGCGGACTTCTGTTTATAGGAGCAATAATAGTGAAAAAAAGTATACGCCTAAGGAAATTATCCAATCAAATACAAGTTTACATTAAGCACATAACTGCATGTGCATTATACGGTTATGCAAGTTTCTATGAATATTCCTTTACCTCTGGACGGTCTTGATTTAGAAAAATAGTAGATATACGTTCTGTCGAAAAGTGTCCACTTAGTAACAGGTGATTTATGATATCGGTGCTCCAATATTTTAGAATTTATCTTATCTTTTTCGATCTGTACTGAGATAAAGATTTTTTGCTAAAGCTCTTCGTCTTCTTCGATTATTTTTGTGTAGTCTTGCTTCTACTAGATTCGGTAAGCAAACGATTTAAAATTTGTCAGAATTATTCTTAACTACATTTTTATGCCAACTAGTAGTGAATTTGTAAAGCTCAAAACCGCCCATAAAATTCATTATACAAAAGGCGTGAACAAGACTGTTTATCATTCATTTGGAGTCATATTGTCACATGTCTAATATCACAACTAATTGCTCGTAACTTTTAGCGTAAATGCTCATTAAATATGTTCAGGTCGCAAGTTTTAAATACATCCAAATTAATTACCGCTAATTGTAGAAAATCGCATTTCTTGCTTCCATGTGTTGCGAAGGTTGCTCGTAAAGCGAATTATATAAATACTGTTGTATGCTCAAGTAGACAAATCGAAAGTTTAAGTGGGAAACTTTTTTCGTGGTGCGTTATAAAAAGCATAATTTTTTTAGTATATTTATTCATAAAATATATTGCGTTTTTAATAATAACATATTTTAATGTAGAAAATTAAAATTCTTGATAAATTACATTTTTGATAAGTTTATTAATTAATTTTTCATAATTTAATGCAAAAATAGCTTAGTCATTTGCTGTCTTTTATTGCTAAAAATACATTCTCTATGCTTATCGTATAGAATTCTGATCTCAATCAGTGTTTGATTTTTGTCAAAAAAATTGGTAACAAAAGACTTTTTTTAAAAATAAAATTAATATAAGTGCATTTATTTTTTAAAAAGCAGTATTTGTCGCTCATTATAGATATATTTAAATAATATACTTATTAATAATATACTTTGTACTTTAAACTTGGCATATATAACTAACTTCAAGTTTATGATTTATTTGTTTTAGTGTAAATCAGAGGAACTCAACAATGAGTGTCGACATCTCTTTATACACATTACCCAACAATCAACCTATTGTTGCATTAGAATGCGATACTGCCTTTAAAGCTTTGACGCAGAAGGAGAAACTATATGCTCATTACTTGAGTCAAGCAGCATGGAATGGAGGATTGATCGTATTGGTACAAACATCGCCAGAATCACCATTGATATTTGCATTGTTACATAAAATATATCTTGCCGAATCTGTTGATGAATTGAGAGCTGCCGCAACACGTGCCAATATTAGTGAAGATGAATTCACGGTAAAGAGTTCTCTCTCAGTATATTTTTCTTATGTTGCTTTGTTTTACAGATTATTAAATGTATACACATGTAATGATAAAATATTTTTTCTTTTTTTCTAGGCTTTCTTAGTTTATAGCTGTGGAGTATTCTCAAATGCAGGAAATTACAAAGCTATGGGTGATACAAAAATTATTCCACTTTTACCCAAAAATGCATTTGAGACAATAATGAAGGCTTCAAAAGCCTATAAGGATAATCCTACGGAAATTAAAAATCTGTGGGACAATATATCGAACGCCCTATATTCCTTAGATGGCAAGTTGAAATCACTAGGATTAGGCGACAAAGGTATCACAACTTATTTCTCTGCAAACTGTACCAAAGAAGATGCGGATAGAGTTAACGCATTTATGGAATATAAAGGACTGGAATCCTATAACGCAAGGTGTTTCAAGACCACGGTGCACAATCCTGAGAATAATAGTAATATTGATGTGTACGAAATTAGACTGGCATCTCTGGAGACTTCTGACGATCCTAAAATCACTTCCTCGGAGGAAACATACAAAGATGCTAAATTTAAAATTACAAGAGGAGATTACAGCAAACTTATGGTGCCAGTTGTGGAGAATCTACAGAAAGCCAAGGAATATGCATCTAACCAAACTGAAAAGGATATGCTAGATAAATACATTGATCATTTTAGAACAGGATCTTTAGACGACCACAGGAACGGTTCTCGTCTTTGGATAAAGGACAAAGGCCCAGCTATCGAGACTTACATCGGCTTTATCGAGACATATAGAGACCCAGCGGGTCAACGAGGTGAGTTCGAAGGCTTTGTCGCGATGGTAAATAGAGAAATGTCCGAAAAATTCGCCACGTTGGTCAACAGAGCCGAAGAATTTATTCCACTGCTGCCGTGGAACAAAGATTTCGAGAAAGATGTATTTTTGAGACCGGATTTTACTTCTTTGGATGTTTTAACATTCGCGGGCTCTGGCATTCCATCGGGGATAAATATTCCGAATTACGACGAGATCAGGCAGTCCGAGGGCTTTAAAAATGTATCTTTGGGAAACGTTATACCTGCGCATATGAAGGACATTCACTCGATTGCATTTTTGTCTGAAAGCGATCAGGCGCTTATGAATTCTTACAGGATACCTAGCTTTGAGGTGCAAGTTGGTTTGCACGAGCTTCTCGGTCACGGTACCGGTAAATTATTTAAGCAAATAGATTCAGATAGCTACAACTTTGATCGCGACAAGGTGAAGAATCCTCTAACCAAAGGTAGCATAAATAAGTTCTTTTTGAAAGGAGAAACTTACGACTCCAAATTTGGCACCATGGGATCCTCATACGAGGAGTGCAGGGCGGAAGCGGTTGGTCTTTACTTAAGCTTGAACAGAGAAGTGCTGAGTATATTTGCTCATAGAGAACAGCAAGCGGATAACATAATTTATGTGAATTGGTTGTCTCTGCTGTGGTCCGGTTTTGCGAAAGCGCTTGAAATGTATCAGCCGGCCACGAAGACTTGGTTGCAAGCTCACGCACAAGCGCGCTACGTTTTGCTGAGAGTATGCCTAGAAGCAGGCGAGGACTTTGTCAAGATTGTCGAAATTGAAAAAGAGAAAGATAAGGATCTTATAATGCAAGTCGATCGAGATAAAATCTTCACAGTTGGCAAAAGGGCTATCGGTGATTTCCTCTTGAAGTTGCAAGTTTACAAGAGTATGGGAGACATTGAATTGGCCAAGGCAATGTATGATAGATACAGCGAAGTGTCCGACAATGGAGAATATCCATGGCTTCGCTGGAGAGACATTGTCTTATCACGCAAGGAGCCAAGAAAAATCTTTGTTCAGTCAAATACATTCGTTGACGGTTCGTATTAGAAAAGAATTTATATGCTTTTTACACATTTTTGTGCTGTTCTATTTATGTTATCTAAAAATTTACCATAGAATTTTTTATAAGCGGATTCTTTTGTAAACTTTATTTTCTTCCATTTGTTTCAGATTCTAATAATGTGATATTAAAGAATTATGAGTCATCGTTCACAGGACTTATTCAATCATGGGTAGAGAGATTCCCAAGTGCGGACACATCTCAAACGTTGATAGAGCTTTGGAACAAAGATAAGCATTATTTTACCACAAACAATTAATCACAAGTATTACATTTCGATTATTTTCTGAATATAGAATAACAAAGGTAGAGGTTTTAAGATATGTACGTGCAATAGTCTAACTTTTATAAAAGTGTATGATTGATCATATTATAGATACAACTAATCATCTTCTGATTTGAAAAAATTAATGGCTGAATGTTTTGTCTAATTTTAATTTGTATTTTTCTAATATGAAGTTCACATACAATTTATACAAAACTAGGATAGTTATGTTTAACGCAAAGTGTACAGAGAGAATACGAGAAAATGCGTTTAATATTGGAAATATCGAGCTTGTATGGAATATGAAAACAATTGTATGTTATCAGAGTATAAAACTATTCTACAAATATAAGTTTAGATATTTGTAAGTATGATTGTATTTATTTCTTTTGTGGCGTTTTCACATTCTTGGGATGCACGAGCAGAAGGAAATGACGTGCGTTTTAGATAACCAATCAATTTTCTAATAAGCTAGTGATAAATGGCGCTAGAAGGCTAATAGATGGCGTCTTACACGCGAACTTCCTAACATAAGTGGATTTATCATCTATGTATGCATATGTCTATGGTTCAAACATGCAATAAGTTTTGGCGGCAAACAGCAAGAAACAAGTGTTGACAATTATATATAAAAACATATAAAATGGAAAGAAGAGAATCTTTATCGAAGTTATTTCAGGATTTAGGGTGTAAAGTCGAAAGTGATGCCGTTCTCGATAAATGTGAGCCCTCCTTTGATTTTATTAATCCTAAAAATATCGAGTTTTTTTCTTGAAATCATGATCTCATTTCATCTTGACGTTATTGTAAGAAAACAACATAACATAAAACTTGTTAAAAATTAAATGTCAGTTCTGTATTAAAGATAGAATCGTAATGTTAGATGACCAAATAAATATAGAGAACAGAAATTTTATGATTGGATTATGAAGTAAATGGCTTTATTGTCGGCTATGTGCTCGCATAACCTTACTTTTGAAATCGAGGAAGCTTTTATCAATTTGCCATAGAACTAAAAAGATTTAAGAAATAATGTGCTAGTTTTTTCAACAACAATAATTTTAGTCGTAATTGAAATTATTTTTTTTATTTTATATTTTTATTTCAATTTTTTAAAAAGACAAAAATTGATTAAAACATTATTCATGTTGTTTAGCTTTTATTAACCATCTTATTAATTATATACAGGTTTTGAGTTTTGTGAATCTTACAATGTGGATGTGGAAAAGCTTACAGAATTGTGGCTCACATTTTGTGTCAATAATAATAATGACATTGATCCCACTCTTCACAATCTCATCAAGATGGAAAATGCAGTATTAAAAAAAGATTACAAATTGAGTGATTTAAGTACAGAAAATAATGTGAAACAAGAACAAAATATAATAGATGAACATTTTATCGAAAATATAACTAGGTATCCTTTAATATCTTTTGAAATTATCATAATTTTAACATATATATGGAGAATATTAAAATTAGCTTGAGATCTTTAATTTAAATATGATACCTTACATAAATGTAAATATTTATAGTGAAAATGATGATGTGCTTAGCATGTATGGCTGTGCTGAAACTGTACCACCAAAAGTGAGTTTTTACATTATTTTTATATAGAATACATTTTCAATTAAAACTTTTAATTCTGTGTTGATGTAACCATTTCATTAAATCATTATCTTATGAGTTTTATTTTAAGATACACATAGCATACACTTAATTTTGCTTTTATAATATAATTTGCTTATAAACATGATATTTGCAGATATATTATTTTGTTTGAAAGAACTTATTTTCAAATTATTGTAACATTTAATATTTTTATAGTAAATTAGCTTTCTATTTGTATCGTGTAATTTTTGCTTTTTAAGAACATAAGTTTAATATAATTTAGAAACAAGTCTTTAATTGGATGATTTAATGGAATAATGGTTTAACTGATTTCTTTAAAAATTTGAAAAAATGACTTGTAGATTCATTTCTTCATCTTTTTAAGAAAAATATATTTAGTTATTAATTATATTTTGGAAAATATTTTATTTTAAGAATTTTAACACAAAGAACATATACATATGTTTGTGTATTATAATATTTTTAGAAACTTTAAAAAATTTTTTTATATGAAAAATACTTATGGAAGTGAAACAGCATTGTCAGAATGATATAGCGGTTTTATAATTGTGTAGTTATGTTAGTATGTACAGATTTCTGTTTTTAAAAGAAGTCTTTTCTTCTTTTGAAGTCTTTTCTTCTAGATTTCTTTGAAAAAAAATCTCAAAAGAAAAGGAGATTTCTGTATATACCTTTATACCATTTTGGCATGTCTCGTCATTGTGTGTAATCTGTAGGATGCTGATGCCTTTGTACTTTGTTTCTACCAATGTATTGTGAATTTTTGAGAGTGTATTTGTTCTTCCTAAAATATCGTATTATATTTTTATGTCTATGAAGTTTTACGTTGCTCACATTGAAAATTTACAAGATTAGAGAAGTTAGAAAGTTTTGGAACGCATAGCTCACTCAGCAGGTAAATGATTTCTCGTTTCTCAGCGAGAGGAACGTAAAAAATATCGTTACAAGATCTCGCGTGAAGGCACCGTAATTCCCGCCAGAAAAATCGGTCAGGTAGATTACCCCGCCGCGTCATCCCGCTCTTTCTCTTCCATGAAGGATACTCCGCTGGGATCGGGACGGGGGAGAGGGCAACTCGTTTCTATTGGTGGAACGAAGACAGCGCGTTGTTCCAGCAGTGAGGGAGAGGGTCCCCTTCTCCCTCCTCTATCTCTCCGTGAGAGCTAAACAGATTTCTTTCGAAGGGCACAATTTCAGTTTTCAAGGACTCCGGTATAATGTGGTTGTCTCGTCATTTGCGTTCGTGTTCATGCGTGTCTCTTCGGCATGGACAAAGTTTCGCACGATCCTCATTCGCATTTCATTCTCCAGTTAACATTTTATTTAGTCAATTTACCTCGCGATTATATTCGTATCGTTATAGTGCTGTTCGGTTCGGTATCTTGATGGCGTCGCCAACGCGACGCCACCACCATCGGCGTCTGACAGCACGTCTCACGATTAGGCGCGTCGCGAGTGAAATTCCTTTCCAGTTATGCTTTGTAAAATTTTAAAGCGATTAGAATCGGCTCGTGATGGCGCAGTTCGCGAAAAAATTTCTGTCGACGAGTACGTTGCCCGTGTGTCAGAAATTTCAACGATTATGTGGTTGCGGTGAGGAACACCGAGAGAAGAAGCGGCATCGTTGACGGCCATGATGAATTCCGGCGCGAGCAAAACTCGCGAACGCAAGTAGTCCTGCGAATCGCACGACGGCATGTTAAGTAGCATTTCTCCACGGAGAAATCCACGGCGTAATCGCGGAAGCGGAAACTAGAAAATCGATCCGGCGATTAACCTCGCTTTCGTGATCGCGCGAACACGCGCACACGCATGCGCAGTCATGGGAAAAGGAAGCGCGCCTCGCGTACATGAGTGCGTCGACCGTTTGTTCGTTGAATCCTGTTGATCGCGCACCGCCTGTTGCTGCGACCTGTTGCGTCGACGCTGAGTACACTGGTTTTTCGATACGATACTTCGGCTTTATTTCAAAATTCACCGATAATATTGAAAACCTATAATATACATAACGTGAATTATAGATTTTCAGTACAAGTAGTAAATATTGAAATCCAACCTTTGTGATTTTTTTTATTTGTTTTTGTTAAGTTGGTTTTGTAAGATCAATTTGATTATAAAAACTATAGAAAATAATTAATCCTTTAGCTGTGACTGTTTTTTTCTATGGAAAAAGTTCGTATAATCATGAAATTTGGACGAACAATTTAAATTTTGGCGGCTTTAAAGATTGCAAATAAATAAAAATATTTCTAGCATTAAATACATTGCAGCCAACATTTAAAACATAACCTCAATTAATTTATAACATTTTAAAAACATAACCTCAATTGATTTATTGGCAACAAAATTTGCATTAATTATTCGACGCTGATCCTTTAAACTTGTAAGTTTAATTTTATTATCTTATAACATTTATTTGTGTGTGTTTCTTTTGTCAATGCTTCAAATTTACAGATACACATAATTCTATTCTTGATTTTATTTCTCTTCAGCGCACGTCCTATTTTATAAAATTTGTAAGAAAAAAAGCAAATCGTTAACGTTTGATCGCTTCAATAAATCGACATTTAAGGATCAGATTTTCCAGCGGGCCTTTCACTAGTGACGTAGAAACTGCTGGCTTTCCGTCCGTTCACTATCGCGCGCGTGAAACTTTCTCTCTGATCGCTCGTTGAGAATCGTTGACGCGCGTTCCCGCCGATAAGCGATGCGAATAACTCGTGTCTAGCGATATCGCGTTCGACCGGCGGGCTCCTCGTGCGCGCGCTCGTTGGTGTCTCTCTACCAATTAAGCACAATTGAACAACAACTGTTCCAATCTCTTCCCTCGCCCGCACGGCTTTCGGCCCGTCGCGCATTTCTTTCATCTTCGTTCTTTTGTGCTGTTACGCCGCGTGACTCAGACGAGATCGATGGAATTCCGAACGAACGGTCGATCGTAACTTCGGTTCGACGTAATCGGTCAATGTTGAGAACATATATTTTCGTCGAAGAGCAAGAGCTCGAAATATATCAAGGATAATCGGGGTTTTGGAAAGAACTCGGAGTGAGATGAAGAAAATGGAAGACGTTGCCGTGTAATCGGTGTTAGAATGATCGAGACTCTTTTCTTATCTCGTAAGTAATTTCCATGGATTTACTTCTACAAAGAATGTCATAAGTGGAGTAGCTTTTTTTTATCTATTTAAATTTTTTCTTTCCAGAAGTTGAAATAATATTAGTTTTCAAGTCAATTTAATTTAGAAATAAAAAATTGGATATTTCTTAAGGATTTTTCAGAAACTAAATATTTTTTATTCAGATTCAAAAATATATAAACGTTACAGAACGAGGATAATATCTTTTTACCAGCATTTATACTTAAAGTTCTAATAACTTACTTTCACTTTTATTTTATTAGGGATAAACATATGAAGGTGATCTGTTAAATAGAAGTCTCAACCGTTCTACACATCTGTTATACACAAGTTTTCGCTTTGTCCTAGCACGAGGACACGCTGTTTTTCTATTGTATTGATTTATCGGACATCCTTGAGAGCGTCTTTGTGTTTTGCTAGAGAAACTGAAAATGTGTTTTTGCCGGTCCAAATCTCAGTCGGGAACCAAAAGCTTAATAACACTCGGTGCGAAACCTTCACGGTTCGTTGCGTATCCAACGAGAGAAAGAGGAGGAGAGGTATGTCACGTGCGAAGGAGCGTTACTCGTAGCGTATGCTGCGACTGTCAGGCATGCGTCAAAGCGTTTCGAGATTTCGAATACGGGCCCTCGACCGGCGACTGGATTGAATAGGATGGCATCGAACGCGAACAAGCACGACTGTCTCTGAACTTGATTGAAATAATACGTAATAAAGCAAGCGTTAAGAGCGGACAGGTTAATCGCAGTTGACCTTTCTATAGCCAGCAACCGAGCGACTACTCAACGCCGTTCATCGCAGTTTCCTCCTTGCATCCGCGTGTATATACGCGCTAGAAGCGAAGATGTGCGTTTGTGAAATCAGCCCGGAGGAAGCAGAGAAGAGAGAAAGAGAGACCCAACTGTGGACGATCCTTTCCGAATTTGCCTAATGAGTGGCGACCTAGTGCACGGTCAATATAGTTGTGACTAGATCCACACTCATTAAGCACGTTCGAGCACATCGCAGCCACGTAGAATGATCGCCGAAAATGATAGAAGCTGTCCACGTCGATTACCGTTCTCGATTCGAGTTGACAAATACGTTCATTCGTATTTTTCGATTTTTCACAATCCCATATCATGGTCAAATAACGCTCTAACTTGGATAAATTAAGGATCTTTTTCTTTGAAGACGAATCTCGAAACGAGAATTGCGGATATGTTTGATCAACCAGTGTCGATTTAATATTTGAAGTGACGAGTTATAGACGGAGGGAAAAATTCCATAGACGAGTATGATCATGGTGCACGTGCATCATTTCGTGACTAGATACATACTCGTCTACGGCAATCTGTCTTGATATCGAAAGCGCTTCGAGTATATATAACTGTGTGTATCATATTGAAACATGTATTTCAAATTAACATTTCAGGCAAAGCTTGTATGCGTCCGTGTAAATGTATTTCATAACTTTGTACCGATTCATCTTTATTTCGTAAAAATGTAGAGATAAGATGATTTGAAAATAAGTTTTTTAATTAAATATTCATGTGTGCTTGTTGATTTGATTTGCATAATATTAGCGGCTGATGTAAATTTGTTGTGCGATTGAAACACGTAATGTTTATTTCTTTATTTCTCGTTCTAGCGTGCAAAAAGAACTCCGGATGTAGAAGTTGTCGTGGACGCTCTGGCCGGTAAAACGAGAACTGCGGAATTTTCACAAGCTAGCTACGCTGAGAGCTCGTAAGCAAATTTTTTGAGTAGGTTTAAATCTGTGATGACTGCATAATACTCCAAATATAATGAAACAAATAATAAATTGAATTAATGAAGTAAAAAATTACACCTGATATTTATATTTAAATAAAGTATATTTGTTTTTCTAAAAATTGAACGCATTTCACATTGTGAACCGTCATGATTTTTACAAAATGGGCTCTGTTGTCACTTTCAGAAGCACACAGAGTCAGCGCAACGTAACTGATAAAGGAAAAATTCTACTTTCCGTGGGCGAGACCGTCGCGTCTTGGAAGAGAACGGGAGATTACAATGTCGAAGTCACGAAGTCCGACGAACCGCATGTCCCCAGCGATGCCAAATACATGTACGAGATCCTGTCGAAGCAAGGACACCTTCTCACATTTGTATGCGGAAGTTTGGGCAGTAGGTTATTCAAGACGTGGTCGGCGGCGACCGACAACACCACTGAGCTGCGTTACGTGAAGAACGTGCGAAGTGTGAATCAAACGTACTTCCGCACGTTCGGTCGCATCAGTACGAAGAAGGAATCCGCGAACACGGTGATGCTGGAGGGTTGTACAAGACGGAAAGGTGTCTCGGCGGCCGACTCGATCGAGCTGGATTTCCGCAATTTAAAGCAATACTCTGTGTTCTCCGGTCAGATTGTCGCGGTCGAGGCGATCAATCCAGTGGGCGATGCTTTATACGTGAAGGAAATATTTGCAAAGGCATACGCACCAGTTGCATCGGCGCCTAGAATCGAATCGAGGCTCAACATCTTCGTCGCGGCGGGTCCTTTTACTGCATCTAACAATATGCATTATCAGCCGCTGTGGGATTTGATGGAGAAAGTTGCGTCAGAGGAACCACATGTCTTGATACTCATCGGGCCTTTCCTCGAGTACACACATTCCGAAATACAGGACAATCTTATCAAGGACACGCATCAGGAACTTTTCGAAAAGATTCTTACCAGAATAATGGAATCGACAAGGTAATATACGAAACATGTTTAGATTTGATTTTGCTTTCTAATTGCGCAGTCTTTAATTATTTTCAAGTTGATTTTTTTCTTTTTCAAACTGCATAATTATTGATTAATATTTATGTAAAAAATAAATTAGTTTAATTAATTTTGTTTTTATTACTCTAACATGCATTGAAATATTACAGGAAGAACACGCAGGTCGTGTTGATAGCTTCTAATCGCGACGCGCACCATGAACCTATCTTTCCAACTCCTCAGTACACAGTTTTTAATCGAAAACTTTTACAAAATTATCCAAACCTAAAACTAATGCCGGATCCTTGTATACTGGATGTCGCTGATTTAAAAATCGGGATTACTTCAGTCGACGTTATCAAACATATCGGGAAGGAAGAGATATCGTAAGTATGCCTCTAGTTTACAGAACATAACGATTTCAAATAGTCTTTCGTCAACGTATATTTTTTTTCCAATTGTTTCTTTTTCAACTTATAATGCTTCATTATAGAAGATGTTTTAAATAAATCAAAATTTTTTTAATTGCAAATTTCTTAATTCTAAAAAAAATTTATTGTAATGAAAATTGAAGTATTAATAATTTTTTAAGTTTTATAAGTTATTGAAGATTACAGTTTTTTTTATTTTCTAATTGTTAACATGAATCACAATTTATTCTTCGGTCACTATAATTATATTATAGTATTGATATTGCTATATATTTTATTTGGACGATATATATATATTTTTTTTAATAAAAAATAAATGTTATTTTCAGGAATATATCAGGTATGGACAGACTTAGTCGCTTAGCTGATCATGTACTCGCGCAAACGTGTTTCTATCCCGTATATCCTCCGTTCGAGGACCTGAATGTGGACACGGAATTATGGGAAAGATATGCGTTTTTCGACCAGCAACCGCACTTGTTAATTTTACCGTCCGACATGCGAAGTTATTGCAAAGTAATCAACGAGTGCGTGACTCTGAATCCGGAACGCATGCACAAGCATGCGTATGCCAAGTTGGGTGTGAAACCGGCTCTTGACGGTAAATGGAGATCCGATAATATCTCGTGCGAAATTGTCAAAGTCTGATAGCTTTAACATACACTCGAAAACAGCATGTCGAACGGATTATTTGTTCTTAATTGAAGGATTCAGTGCAATAATGGTCTTGTATTTTTATAAGAGAATTTTTATTCCTTCAAAAATTCGAAAAATATTAAAGATCTTTGTTTTCCAGATTAATTTTTTCAAGTTTTTGATGGGCATTTTTGTACTGAATTCTTAAATTGTTGATTAATAAAGATGCCTAATTACCTAAAAAAAATATATATATGTAATTTTAATAATCATATATTTATGTATATATGTGAAGTATAGTAAGATTTGTCTTTTTTTTTCTCCTACAGCATATATGTTTAGTTATACGAGATATTCTGTATCAATCAAATTTTTTTATCATATTTCTAAGCCGATATTTTATTATTTTTATATTTTAGAAATTAGAAATATTGAATATTTTTTTGAGATTTTATGAACTATTGAAGATCAGTTTTTTCAGACTATTTTTTAATTTGTGTAACAATTCATTTTACAGTGGATTTTAAAATTCTATGCCTTGATTAGTGTTTGCAATGATATTGTCAATTTAAATAACAAGAAATTAATGCTTTATAAAATTTTTAATATAGAAAAATTGATTTAAAATTTTATTTGTTCAAAGTAGTATAACGAGGAAAGGTTGGAAGTGTGGATAACATTGTGAACGTATTTATTGGTGGTAAAATCACAAGTGCATTTATCGACAAAGAAAAATGTTACAATTATATAGTTCTTTGAGTCATCGACAGACGTCGCTGCTATCGCACACTACAGGTCAGATTTGTAAATACACCGTTCGCAATTTTCCTTTTTTTTCCTCCCTATCTCTCGCCAATTTAAAATTGTTTATATTTGTGTGTAGAAGGCGTGCAACTGTAAAGAACGGACTTTCGATATCAGTACGTGTTCAATTTGCTTCAGCATCGTGCACGGTCGATGGCGCCACGCGAACGATACTGCTGCTGCCCTCGCGGAGCTCCCCTAGACTTTTCCGCCGCTGGTGGATCATAAAATCAGCCATTACTCCAAAAATTTTTGTCGTGTACGTGTGGCCGCAGTTCTGCAATATGGTGAAACCGCTGTCGATCTGGTGAACGGCGCACTGGTGAGTAAGAAAAGCTTAACAATACAATTTCACACATGTATCGTAGATCGCGAGCCATGGTCGCGTGACAGTCCGACGATATCGTCGAATTCTCGACTGCCATCTTTGTTACGAACTCTGTGTACTCGGTGTGTATGTCGTATGCGTCTTTTTTTTTTTCAATCATCGCTCGTTTTATCCCTTCCTCTTGGAGTGGAGTCTTTGCGCGTATATACGAAACGACCTTGATCTCCTCCTCTCGATCGCGTGAACATCTCTAATTGTCGAATCGAATCCGCGATGCGCGCTGTCTCGCGAAACATCGTCTGATCTTGCAAATCGCGATAAAACTCTCCCTCTCGCGATCCCTTCGAGACATCTGTTTCCGCAGTCGTTTGATGCGTGGAAAACGCTGCGATTGTACTCTGCAAGATGCATTTACGAGATTTCCATAGCAACGTTGCATTACGAAACGATTACGTAGGCATTACATGTGCAAGTGCATCGGCTGCGCTGGTATACACATCATCGGGTACCCCGCGAAACATCGCGTCGTCGCGTTGCGATTCGAATCTCGACACCCAGTATCGACCGCGGCTGTCTGTCACATGAATGCTTTGTTACCAACAGCTACTCTTAATTTGCAATAACAATATGTGTATTTATTTAACTTTGCTATGTGTGGTATTTTTTGGGTTATTTTTACAAGCGACATGTGCTTAGAAAATAATATTTTTCGCCTCTTCGTAATCCACCTTCGCCGCTCCTATCGGTATAAATACAATTATTTCAAAGGAAATAGATTTATGCCTGAAATTTGCATTTAAATTTAACCCTCCTAGGATCCAATGAATCCTAATATTTAATTCTAAAGTTTCTGATCATCTCAATCATGCAGGATTGTGATATCAATAGCGGAAAATTGTATGAACTTTTTTGCCGGTATGAAATTTGGATACGAAAGAGAGCCAATAAAAACAAAACGTGATAATTAGCGTAACGCGCCTTGTGCGCCCGTCGGAAATGGAATTGACAGAAATCAGACCGGTTTCGGGCCTCGTTTTAGGACACGCAGGCACGTGTGCGTCATCGTATGTCGAGAATGCGAGAAAGTGAGAGTGCTATATCGATCCGCTTCGCACGAAGTCTACCTATCTCAACCCCAGCATCGCGTACACGCATTGAACTGGTCTGCTGCCACTGGCAGCGGCTTCATTACTTTTTTTTTGTCTGTGAATTTTTGAGAACATAAACCTTTTCCTGTTATTTGACGTCTCTCATCACACAAATATTGAACAAATATGCGCAATATTATACTTCAAATACGGTAAATTCTTATGTGAATATCTGTCTTGGGTTTACATTGTTTTATTCAGTGAAATTAAATTTTTGTTAAGAGCAGTAATTACAAAATATAGATATTTTTAAACTTTTGCGATTCTCAAATTTAAAGAGTTGATAATTAAGAGATATAAGCAAGTTTAGTTTTTTTTTAATTAGGGTGTAAATTATAGAATCCTGTGCGACATGTTAAATATTTTATGAGCATTTCCAAAACAAACAAGATGTGAAATAAATCAAATGTGATTCAAAGTATTTGGCGTAAGAAATTACAATTACGTAAGAAACTACAAACAGTTGATACAAATAACAAGTTAATTTTTTTTTAACTATTTGAATTCCTAACAGAAATTAAATACTGAAAAATTCCTAACAGAAATTAAATACTGAAAATAGGTAGGCAATTTTCAGAACTAATTTTGGTATTTATGCATCAAATCAACGAGAATCTGTTATTATTATAAATTCTAAAGAAATAGGAAAGTTGGACAATATTATTCATTGTCACTTTACACGAAACTTAAGTAGCATTAGCATTCTCGTGCCAGAGACGCGTTATCGCAAAAGTAATTTGTATTAGCCTTTGCGTGATTTCAACAGGTACATAATTATGAGAACTCCGTATTCGTGATCCATCATTCGTAGCAAAGTTTCAGCTTGTGAAACTTTAAAAAGCTTATACCAGTCAGCATTCACTTTTGGCATTAGCTTCGTAAGTACTTTTATACGAATAATGGAAAGAATCGATGAGTAATTTTTTTTTTTTTACACAAATATTCCTATAACGTATAATTGCGCTTTTTAAAAATAGAATCTTCAAACAGTTTTTTTTTAAATGGATACTATATTTTTACATAATTTGGCTTTCTCATTCGGTATAAAATTATTAAGTGATTACAAGTAAATACTTTGCATGATGCTTTTTAAGCCAGAATAATTCTTTATTCACCATTTCACTCCGAATTGAAGAATTATTATTTCTCAATATAGGGTCTTGTAACTTATTGAATTATTGAGAAATTGTAAAGCATCGACTTAGTCGATGAATCGACCGAGCCGTGTATCAATTTTTAATCGCTCTTTACTGGAAAAATACTCGGGTACTAGATATAAATTAGAAATAAAAAAATGGGGAGCGAGGAGAATTGCCAAATTGAATCTCATCTGAATATATACGTATATATAATTAAAATCTATTGGAGTGATTGGAGCAAGGCGCTTTTAATTGAATAAAATACAGACGCTATATGAGACAATAAATACGAAGGGACATTATCAAGTCAAATTATCTTTTATTAGTCATTGGAAAAATGTTAATTCACAATCTCTGCTGGAAAATTTTGCTGAATTTATATCAAAGTTACAATTAATTTCCTTTTATCGAGTGAGACTTTCGTCCTTTAGACACCTGATTAATTAGTTAAAATCTTCGTCGCTTTGTGCTTTTACTCTGGTTCAAACGAGCGTGAATGAGAAGGAGCCTTCGTGACGGCGACGTCGTCGTCGTCGGTGACAACAGCCGCACGAAAGGTCCGATATGTCTACGCCGGTGGGCTGTTTTGGGCGGGCGACGTAGCGGCTGTGCGCAAAAAGCGGCGGCACAGTCAAGTTCAAGGCCACCGACGTCTCTCTAACCTCCTCTCCGTCCCCAGGTCCCCTTTTACGCCGCGGCTCCCGTCGCGGCCGCCGTTGCCCTCGCCGCCCCCGTCGCCCACCCACTCACTATCACCGTTGTGATATACACACATTGACGCGTCTAAACGCCAGTAACGTATCAAGCCGAGGCCGCCGCACTCGGTCGGCGCGACGCGACGCGACGCGACGGGATGATGGGAGTGTTTCGCTCGATCGATCTACCCTCCGCCGCCGCGAGGGAAAATTCAATTCGCGTACGTACGTAAATGCGGCTCGGCACGATGCTTGGGATGTTTGAAATACAAGCTTCGGAGAAGCTACGAACTTTACGATCGGGTCGGCCGATCAAAAATAAGAGGAAATATTCTCGTAAATTAAAGCATTCTCGTTGCGTGAAACTACGTCCAGAACAGATATTTCGTTGTTGAATAATAAAAGAAAAATTTGCGAGAATATTTTGCTTATAATAATATTATATGATTCGTGTAATCATTAGAGAGAGAGTAGATATTTCAAAATATTGCGTCGCCGTAATGTATAAAAATATTTATTTCGTCTATATATAGATATATTTTGCGGATATCTAGATATTTTTCTCGTTTATGGAAAAGGGTGGAGCTTGATGCAATGAGAAAAAAACGAAAAAAAGAGACGAGGAAGGATATAAATCGGTATATATAGATATGGAAAGCCACTTCAAGTCAGCGTGATAAAGCTTCGAGTCGTATCAAGGTGATACGAGAGTCACGGTGTTAATGACCGATTACCGGTGACCATGATTTTACCTAAAATGACATTGCACGCGCCGTTGACGAAAAAAAAAAAAAAACGGTAACATCTGTGTTTTAAATCGAGACAGTCGTATCGTTTTATCGACGATAAGTGCGATAAGATGAAGATACGTTGCCTAACACGGTGCAACTGCACGGTACATGTTGTTTCAGATTAAGAGTCGTTACTTTACATAATGAAACATGTAATAATGCGTACAATGCAAACAATATAAAAGATAATACAATAAAAATTAGTATAGGCAAAATATATAGAAAAAATACATATTTATGCACATTTTGAATTTTTTCCTTAATCGTAATGATATAGTACTTTCGTATTGTATAGTGCAATGTATACTATTGATCTATTATTTCTATTATTTCTATTATTTCTGAAAATATGGATAAAATGACAAAATTATTGTTTTATTTAGCATAAAAAGATTTTTAAACATTCTTACACAGTGATCTTTGTTACAATATTGCCAAAATGTGTATTCGTTTCAATCGTATCTTCTATATTCTCTCGCCTCTCGCATCTTTCCTCATTCAAAACCGAAGTGTCCACTCGTGTCATTTTAATTGCAGATAGCGCGAGAAAGTGCGAGCAACAATAAAATATGCAACATCTCTCCTGTCTTTCGCTTTTAACAGCGTGACGCAATTTTCGAATGCTTCAGTAGATACGCAAAATGAGGGGAATAAACAAAGATTTGTGAAATACGAGCTTGATATAGCATGTCGCATCGGATCGCGTCGCGTCGCGCCGCGCAGCGCATCGCCGCGACGCGGATTCACTTGACGCGCCAACGTCCAGCGCCGTCAGTCGCGTACGGCGCGTGGTGCCGTGAACATCTTCTTCGTGGTGGTGGTGGTGGTGGTGGTGTTCCTCGCAAGCGGCGTGTTTTGATCGCGCGGGCGACGCGCTCGCTCGCTCGCGCCGCGACGTTACGACAGGACCTCTGATATCGCGCTGATCGGAGCGGCGCTCCGAATGTCGCGGCCGTGCCAGTTTCGTCTGTGACGGGGGTGTGCGCGAGAGACTGCGAGGAGACTTGTGTGCATTTTTCGCGTGGTATCGCGTGGGACGAGAACGAGGCCATGGACGCGTGGATGTACGACGTGGTAAGTGCCGTGTTTTGCGGCACATTGCCTCTCTCTCTCTCTCTCTTTCTCTCTCCCCCTCCCCCCTCTTTTTTCCTCTCTTTTCCTCTTTATCTATTTTTCACTTTTTCCACTTTTTTTGCGTGATTTCGTTAAGTTCTCGTAATTATTTTGTTTATTTGATGCGTCGTTCCTATTTTTCTCAAAATTCAAAAAGCGATTATCGAAAGATCGGTCACGCATGATTTTCATGATTTTTCCGATGATCACGATATATATTTTGTAGCTTTTACAAGCGTCTCGCTTTATTCGCTCTGTGCGATCCTCGTCGAGACAAGCATGACGTTTATGGTCTCGTAAACCGATACCGATATAGATTCGGAAGGGAAAGAGAGAGAGAGATATATAGGCTTTCCTAGCACAGTTCGTAGAAATTATAAACTGTAGCAAATTCTTTTCTTAAGGTAATATATTTTATGATAAATATGGATGCATTACTTAAAACTCGAAGACATCGTCTATCTTGCGGCAGAGCAGTCATTATATTACACAACGTGTCGGGCCGTTAGATAATTTATCCTGCGTCTCGCGACTAATTCTCTCCGCAGTCGCTGATTCGTTGGTCTCTCGAGAATCCTCTGACAAGGAAGAATTACCGTCTGCTCGGCTGCATCGTGTTTCAGTAAAACGGAGTAATCGAGGTGTATCGCGTTATCGAGGTGCGCGCCGGAAAGTCTGAATCTGTGATAAAAAGTAACATTTTTTTTCTAAGAAACAAATTTAAAGTTTAAAAATTCTTAGTGAGAATTTAAGATTTCTCGCCGTTTATTCAACATTCTTGCATATTTTTTTATTGTCTTTTATTTCTCAATTAATATAAATAAATTTATCAATTTTTATCGCTATCGATAGCTCATTAAAGAGATGTTGGAGTGACGAGAATCCAGAATTCTTTTTTAAACATAAGAAATCTGAAAACTGCAGATTTTCGACATATATGAAGTTTAAACTTTTGTTCAGAAAAATCTGTACGCGCGTTTTCAATCGGCAATCGTCGATACCTTTTGCGCCACGAACGACTCCGAAAACATCAGGGAAAAAAAGTGTTTGTTATGATCGAGCACACACGAGCGTGCGTTGGTCTGGTATTGTACTTCGACGAGCTTTCGCCGCCTACCGGTTTTTTTTTGCTTTCTCTTTGCTTCTTTGTCCATTCGCTTGCGTGTGTTTCGTGGTACTTGGCGCAAAATAGAACAAAATAATTACATTATGAACAGAAATTTTTGCAAATCAATATTCAGTAATTGACAATTACAAAAGAACAGAAACGTAATTTTAGATTGACCGTAAAAATCTGTAGCCAGGATATTTAAAGCATGCGAATGCAATTATACACGTATCTCGTATGTACGGCGATAAAATGATTCACAATTACGCGATTTTTTTTCGGATGATAACAGTGCGGTGTACAAAGTTTATACTTCATTTATCGCGTATGATGAGTTTTATCGCACATTTATTAGCTATGAAAGGAAAAGAAATTGGGACTCCAGAAATTCTCGATTCGATAGTTATTCCAGCACGTTAGGCGAATTTATCGTATGACATAAAATATTAGACTAAAAGAATGTTCGATGTCATCTCGATCAATTGCGTTGCTTACGCGAGTGTGCCGAGATTTATGATTATTAAAGACGCATATAGGTCTCGCTTTCCTTTGTGTTTTTTTCCGCTGTCATCTACATGAGCAAATATTTAAAAAATAGCGGATGTCCATTTAACTGCAGATTTTTAAGGAATAAAATTTTCCTTTAACGAAAAAAATGTTGAGCTATTAAGATTTCGATTATTTAGTGATCGAAAGAAGTCTTGGATGATTCTTTTCGACTTGTCAAACTTGTGTTTTAGAAACTGATATTTTATTTGTCCCTTTTCACCCGAAAATTTCACGATCCTTACGCAATTCCACGTGTCAAAGGCGTCCACAAGGAGCGTGCTGAAATATATATCGCGCTTACGTTATTGATGATTATAGTTTAACGTTTCGATGTGTTTCGATGTTGAACCTAGCCTAATCTTTAATCGCGTACTTGAACTCTCTGTCGGTTTCAATATTTTCAGCAGCGATAACGACCTTATAACGATGAATATTACTCGTCTCGTCGCATTCGGCGCGCTGCCCCTCGGCCAAATTGACAAGGGGTTAACGAGGAGTTTATGCTGACGCTCGTATATTTTGAATATATGAGCGCGTGATTGAGATTCGCAATGATCTATCGCAGTGATCTAACGTGACTAAGGGGAAGCGGCTCCTCTCCTTGTCAATTTATTCATAAATCGGCTAGAGTGACGACCTAAAAAGTAATGGTTCTCCAATTTCTCCTTAAATTCCGAGGCAAGCACGATGGATCTGGAATCTTTTATGATGTAACAGTTTAGAAAAGAGGAATACGTCTTTTTAAGTGATGACTTATTCAAATAGTATGTAAATTATATCAACTGGAACGAAAATAAAATCGTCGGAGCGCAAGAATCGCGGTGGATGTTTGATAGAAGAAAAACATTCATCTCGAGAATGGCGTCAGCGGATATTTTCGGATTTTCGTTTTTTTTCCGGCTTTATAAATCGACAAATTTCGATGTAAAATTTCATGTAACATTTATAAATTGTCCTCGGGATCATGTCTTGTTTCCACATGAGATCAACTAACATATGATAACAAAAATATGTGCACTTATATTGACAATTATATTGATAACATTACATACAATTTATTCACAAAATTTTGTGATTTAAAAATGTTTCGTTTCATCAAAAAATTCCGAGAATTTCGGAATTTTGATCGTCCAATCACCATTGATTCGGTGAATGCTTTTTATTTCGCCACAGGAAATTATAGAAAAGATATTAGATCCACATAAAATCAGATACATTTACCACTTTTTTACTCAATTCTGGTTCCAATAAAAAATTCATGATTCGAGTCTTATAAAAAAGAAATCGGAAAAGCTGTTTTTATAAAAGCATATTGGTGGCACGAATATTTTAAAATTATAAAATATAAATATAAAAATTTAATACGTACGTTTCGAGTTTATGTAACTGTATGCATTTTCAACTTTATACGATAAACTCATTATGTTAGCACGATAATGTGACACTAATTTAGAAATCAATGTAATCAATGAAGCGTAGAGAGGCTTAGTGTTAAAACGCTCGCACAGATTCTTGTCGGATTATTGAAAAAGGCATTACGACACATCGCTAGTTGCGCATAAACAAGTGCCCGCGGATAGGAAGCGGAACGTGGTCACGATAGACACTAGCAATGCGAAGGTCGGCCACTATACGCTACACGTGCACCGATGCATTCATGCGCCCGTATGCGAAAAGAAATACTTCTGATATGAACCGGGGTAAAAACTGCACCCCACTTAACCGCCCGAGGGTTAATAATAAGAGCAGAAGATGAGAGAGAGAGCGCGCTATAAAAATACCTCGCGCGCATTTAGAGGCAAAATGCGTGGTGTTCGTAAGTAATTCGCAGTAAACTTATTCGATATATTGTGATCGTGGTAGTTAAGAAAAAACACTTTCTGATGAACGGAAAATATTTCATTGAAAATTTCTAAGAAAATTGCGGATCAATGCAACGATATCTCATTCACACGAAAACCATTTTTTCTATATAAATACAAGCTCGTGGCACAAATAACTGCTGAATTTTTTTAGACGTTCGAAATCGGATCGATTGGTTAGTATAATTGGATGCTGTTATGCAAAAATAAATTAGTTTATAAAATTAAAAGAGAAATTGAACGAAACACGTGTCTAAGTCAGCAATATAAGGGGTTTTGTATTTTAAATTTAATTTATTCAGAACGATTACTTAACGCGCGTTAATTCCTCTCTCTTTCTCTCTCTCTTTCTCTCTCTGCATACAGCATCCAGTCACTAGCTAAGAATATCTTTTGTTACCGAACTATAATTTCGGAGTTATTTTTTAACGCAGCATTTTTTCACAGACCCAAGCTGACGAATCTTGGTTTCAATGTATCTGCCCGACGATTATTTCGCACATTGTCCAAGGTTAGGATTTGCACGGCTCTCGCGTTCTCTTTCTCCCTCTGAGATGACGTCATCGACGTCTCGCAGCCTTAAACTTGACTCCCCCTCCGTGCATCCCGTTCCGGAGAATGATTATTATCGTTCCCCACCAACGATATGGCTCGACGTCGAGCAACTCCGCCGCTCGTTGATCGGCAAGCTTACCTTCCCGGCTGTCGCTGATCAGTCTACCGCAGATTCGATACTTTATCTGGGCTCCATTGACAATACATTTTTATCTCGACAAAGTTTCCCGGACCCCAAACACATAAATAGAGCTTTGCTGTAATTAAGCTTGCAACCCTTTCATAGCTGTTTATGATCGCACGTTTCTGAAACGTAAGAAAAGAAATTGTGCGAAAGCACAACAGATTGATTTATTGTGTGTGTGGGATTTAAATTCTAGAGATAAACCATAATTCTATGAATGAAAGTCTAATTGGAAATATCGAAATCGTTTCGGTCTATATTTAGGGAAAGATCATATACATGTCAGGGACGCAATTCGAGGGTTAATAATGATAATTAATTACGGCGGCGTATAAATAATAAAGCCTTACACGCGAAGTGGTGTGATTAAAATAATTTCCTTAGAAATTTTTCAATAATTTTTTTACGTTGGATTTATTTTTTTTTACAGTAAACAAACTTTTTACAAAGCGAAGAACTTACAAAACGGAACGTAATTCAGTTATACTTTCTTCTTCTATTTTTACCGTACAAAAGACCAGTCTAGAAAAAGAATTAGCCTTGTCCGATTCACTCGGACTATTGGTGCAACTGGTCTTTACGATTTCTAGATCCTGAAAGATTTAGAGCTCTAGGCTTAAAAAAGGATACAAGAGTTTAAAAGATTCAAGGCGCTGTTTGACGGAAGTCAATATCCACGTCGGATATTCAGAGTGCAGGGTTATTCTCGCCCGGTGTTTTAATGCCGCGCGATTACACGGTCGTGTTATCGACGCTATTTTTATCGGATAAGATCGATGTGAAATCGGAGCGTAGTTCCCGCCAAGGCCCCGGCCTTGACCGCGACCCAGGGTCTTCATCCTCGAGGGATCGATTTTGTACTTTTCGCGCTCTAATTCCGTAACCACCTACGTAGACGTACATATACTCGCGATATTCCGACTGCGCGAGCGGACAATTATAATAATTCATAAATAGTGTCGTCGACTTGTTGCAATTGTTGCGATACAATCAAGTGATTGATACATTCGTGCATTTCGGAGCTACAGTAGAAAAAAGTAAAAATATGGCTAATTTAATCATTGCGGAAGATTGCGAGTCGATCACTTTTAGAATAAATTAGTTCTTTTTTTTATTCGAATTTTATTTTTATCGAGGAATATACTAGGTTTTTAATTTCGTTTTGTATTAAAAAATTCCATTGAGATAATTAAATTCGAAAAGTGGCTAAAAATATCTATTTTAGCATAATAGCTTTAGTTGAAAATAATTACAAGAGTCTTTCCTTGTTTCTCGTTATCACGGCGCATAATCTCGTTATACTACATATACGATGTCGCGCGAGCGTCCATTGATCTCAGTTTCCAGTGACAGGAATTAGGCATTATGCGAAGGTTATGAGAATTGTGCACTATCGGCTGATATCACACCTGGCAACAGATAAAGAGCTGTTTATTGACCGATGTTAATCGCGGCGTATCTTAATTTGTGCAGTGCAGGCGATACTGCGCGTGTTTATCCTGTCCGATCGTTACCCGACGCACTAATCATTTTTGCCTATCATTAAAGTCCGAGCTGCGTGCATTGACGGCATGAAATTCAAAACTTTAACGTCGTTCCGCAGGTTTTAAAAACCTTCCGTATTTCGAAATTCAATGAATGTTGTTAATCGTTTTTTTATGTTGATTTAAAAATGTTTTTACTGAGCAACACGAATGATGACACGTGAAAAAACCAATTTATTCCGGTATAACAACAGGAGAAAAAGATTTACAAGATTTTTTTCTTTCTGACGTTTTGCAATTCAATACAGCTGCGGCGAACGATTAAAAACTCTCAATGGAATTTTTAAATTCACTTTATCATTATTTTCAGCCCTCAATTAATTCTAATTTTTTAATTGATTTTATATCATTATATTGAAATTACGATTTCCGCATTCGCTCGCAAAATATTTATCTTTTTACTTCTCTCTGTCTGTATTATACGAAAAGTTTTTCTCGCTTACGTAATCACTTCTGGAAACTCAGTATCCCTTTTGTAGAAACAATTTTAAAACAATTTCCTTGATACAGTTGAAAGTTCTTTAATATTCTTTCTCCCTCCTTCTAACGTCTTAAGAATTCTGTTAGAAGTATCATTCATGCTATTATAGAGAACTGCTTAAATCGATTCTGATTAAAATAAGAAAATGATCTCCAATTTTGGAAATACGTGTTTTATATCTTTGAACATTCTCTTACTTATTAATTGCCGAAAATTTTTTTAAACATATCAACATTTTGGAATTTTGGAGATTTTTGGGGGCGGGAAGAGTTGGAGCTTTGTCAATTGTGTATTAAAATTTCAAAATTAGAGCGTTAACTTTCCATAAGTGATGTTGATAGTAGCATCAAACTCGCGCTGCACCGCGCCGCGCCGCGCCGCGCCGCACCGCACCGTACCGCATCGCATCGTACCGCGTCGCGTCGGCGCGCGTAGGAACGGAGCGTCACGGACGTATAGGCAGGAAGGTAGAACAGAGGAGGAGATAAAACGAGATAAAACGAGATTGAGAGGCCCAAGGCCGCCGTTGTCGGCCGTTTCCGTTGGCGCTCGGCGTCTAAAATTGCGGTGGCGTGGCTCCGCGGCCTTCGCGAACGCGCGCGGCAGCTTCTCACTCTCTCGCAGAAAAGTCAAGTTCAAGGCCGTCGAGACACTCCGAGGTGTCCCTCTTTCTCTCTCTCTTTCTCTCTCTCCCTCGTCTCACCCGTGTCCGCCTTTCGAGCTCTCAATCGAACGGTGGATCGAACAGAGGGAGAACAACACTTACGCAACCCTTTCCCCCTGTAACCTGTTCCGCTGGAACATTGTAACAGACGTAGGATTGGTCGTGCGTCGAAAGTCTGCGCTAAGCGAGCTCGTCTTAGCGATGTGTTTCTCTCTCTCTTTTTTTTTTTTAATTTCCGCAATGTATTTATGTTTTTTCAAAGCTCGGTTTAGGCGATCCATAGCTTGCGAGATAAAAATCTCTTTTAATTTTATAATAGTTTTATAATAAATAATGTAAAAAGATTGGTAAGAAGTAGTATAGAGAACATTTGAAGACTCAGAACACACACATATAAAATACAGATCACTGATGTATATATACGTGTATTTAAATTTTTCAAATGTTTCCTGTTTTATTTATGTTACATAGATAGAATTCTATTCTGAATTCTCTGTCGTGGATTATAGATCGTCTAAAGTGGGCTTGGTATAATTATATAATTTATATTCACAAAGCAAAGAGAAGGAAGTTGGTCAAGGATTATCGGTCTCGGCGTATCGATATACCGTTGTAATCAAGACAAGGTCTCCGCTCACAAAACCGAGGCACCATACGGTACCAAACAGCTTACACATTCGGACAATATTTTCTGCAGCCTCGAGTTTTGTAACGTCAATCCGATTCATTTCGAAAGCAATCGCCGAGTCCGAAGTACTATTTTTACATGCGATATTTTATATTTGATCGACGGCATCACAAATTAAACTTTGATCGCCCGCATTGACATTTCGCACCGGATATTTCGGAGAATAAAATTTCGACCAAGTTTTAACGAGATCTGACTCACCAGTTTGATTTGCAAATTCGGCATTGATCGAGTGCAGCGATCGAGTTTGTCGAATGGGAAACGTACAATTTCATGTTTAAAAAAGCCAAGTTCAAGGTCGACTAGATAGTCCCCTCTTCCGGCTATGAGTCTCACTTTCTGCGGGCACAAGACACGATACCAGAACGGAAAGTGGAGGAAGGAAGAAAGGGGGCTTACGCAATCCTTTCACCGTTACACTGCGTTCACCGACGCTTTAATGTAGGGCGCAGTTAACTTTTATTAATCTAACGTTGCCGAATGACGTTATTATTAAATTGTTAGATCACAAGATATTAGTATTCATATATGAAATTTCGGGGCTTTAATTTCCCAATGTGCTTGCAAAATATCATTTTTTTTAATGAAATGCTTTTTATTTCCTTTTTAAAATGTTTTATATTAAATTTTTTTGAATGTTTATGTCGGTTTCTACATGTTAATTTTTTAAATTAAAAAAATTTTGTCTCATATTATTAATATATTTAACTACGTTAATATTCTACGTTCTAACTATGTTCATATTTCTAATTATTTATAATTGAGAATTTTTGCATAAAATCTAATTTATTTGAAATACTATATAAAAATATTTATTTTTGAGAAATTTTTAATGATTTAAACAAATGCCAAAGTTAATTGCACACTAGAGTTCTATCGATATCTAAACAGCGCGATCGTCGAGTCAGCAATCGTGTACGTTTCGAGTAATCGTATCCTGTGCTCGTGCAGGATAGTGCTTACACGCGGCTCGTGACAATACACAGAGGTTCTCAGTTTCCATATATTTTCTGATCTGAGTTTGTATACGCGCGGAGACCATGCGGCGGGTCGCCTAGAAGAAAGGATCTTCGCTTCGGGAACATTGGTGGCAGTGCCGCGAATTCTCTGAAGTCAATTCTAAAAATGCTCAAGGCGTTGGCCGCACTTAAATATAGCAGACACAAAAAAAGTGCAATCGACTGCAGAGAGAACGACGGGTCTCTTATTTTTGCGTGGCTTTTTTTTCGCGTTCTAATAATCGTTGCGATAATTGATATAATGATACATTATTTTCATACACTGGAACAAAGACTACGTTGTATTTCTCGCGTCTCGACAGGTCTGCATGATGTCTGATGCCACTACGGAAAGCATGATCGGGAATAACAGGACGATGCCGAATATTAAGCAGGAAATCGATAACCCGACAACACCCACGCAGAATTATCAAGTGTGTTCGCCGACCACAACTCTTCAACATCAGGAGGTACTGAAATTGTTGAGGAAACTCAATTTATCGTCATCAATGATGATTTATGAATGATGGATATACATTATCGTGTCAATATCGCATCAGTCGTATTGTGATCCATCGATAATTTATTAATTACGCGTGAAAACCTAAGAGAGGTTTGAGTTTTGAGACTTTCACAAATTGATTTTGTAGTGAAAATTATATATTTCGCGCGAAAGATAGTTATTTTCGCGGCTAGTATTCTTTGTTTTCTAGCGTTGTGAGAGCAACTGATATTCAAAAGATAAGAAGTTCTGGAAAATTTTCTTAGTTTATGTGCATATATATATATATATATAATCTGTTTATCATATTGTTAATTATATACTAATACTAATATGATTTTAATTACATTGTTTTCCAGGCAATATGCACTAAGTTGGACATTGGAACGGATTATGGCGGTGGTAGTAATGGTAGTCCTGAGAGTCCCGAGATGCATCATTGTTCCTCAACGACGCAGCCCTTGGGAACTCCAGACGTACGTCTCAGAAATGTGGTTCTCCGCAAATATGAGTTTGCATTAAAAAGGATTTATATTTGAATTGTGAAGAATTATTCTCGTTTCCGTAGGATGGAGTTAAGGAAGAAGACATGTTGCCCAGAAGACTTTGCCTCGTCTGCGGTGATGTCGCGAGCGGTTTTCACTACGGGGTCGCTTCGTGCGAAGCGTGTAAGGCGTTCTTCAAGAGAACTATACAAGGTAAACAGTGTTATTCGATTTCGTGATTAATAGGCCGTAAATTTTGTCCAGATAGCACCAAGAACGACGGAAATGTTTTTTTTTTTTTGGATGATATAAAATCTGAATATGTACTTATGACGATTTCAAATTCATAATAAAAAACTGACAGGATGCAATATTTAAAAAAAGGAAAAAAATCAATTGGTGCTGTCTGGTGCAGAACCACGTATATTACGATAAAATAGCCAGTAATTTTACAGGAAACATCGAGTATACTTGCCCGGCGAATGGCGAATGCGAGATTAACAAACGAAGGCGGAAGGCTTGTCAGGCTTGTAGATTTCAGAAATGTTTGCGACAAGGGATGCTGAAGGAAGGCGTGAGGTTGGATCGCGTTAGAGGCGGTCGACAAAAATACAGACGATCTGCTCCAGATCCATACACGCCGATCAAAAGCATCACATTGGAAGGTATTTGTCTTATATTCACGCTTATATTTACACAATTTTGCATCTCCATATCTTGATTTTGTGACAAATGTAAACAAATGCAGAAAGTAGAGTGATTAAATCTCTTTCGAAAAACGCTATTAACTCTGAATTATTCAATGTTTCAAGCTAACGTAGCGCCGGGAGGTCCTACTGAAACAATAAGTAAGCTTGCGAATTCTCGTTGCATATTCTACGATATTATAATCTTTTATTAGCTTTTCAGTTTTATTTTATATTTTTTATTTATTTATATTACTCGTTTTTTGTATATTAATTGATAATAGTTAATAATTCTTGCGTTCCGACAATCGCATTTCTGGCTCTTATTGCCTTCTCTGTTTGTAATTTTCATTTATTATCACAAATATCTTATCAATTCTAATGTTATATTAACAATGTAGAAATAAATAAATAATCATTCAAATAACATTAAACATCATTAATGACTAATAGTAGCATGTAAAAATGTTTTGCTTTAGAGCAATTTAAATAAAGAGGCGCTTTGTGTCTCTGTTGCAGATAACAAGATGGTCGAAGCCTTATCGGCCTGTGAACCGGACATGCTTCAAGTGTCGAATATCTCACATACACTGGACACAGATCAGCGAGTTCTCGGTCAATTGTCGGATCTCTATGATCGAGAATTGGTTGGCATAATCGGTAACTATCTGTCGCCATACGTTAGTGACTGCTGCTTCATTTGGCGATTGTCTAATTCTTTCTCTTGCAGGCTGGGCAAAACAGATCCCAGGATTTAGCAGCTTAGCACTGAACGATCAAATGCGACTTCTGCAGAGTACTTGGGCCGAGATATTAACCTTCACTCTGGCGTGGAGAAGTACGCCGAACATCGGCAGGTTGAGGTTCGCACAAGATTTTACGCTAGATGAGAGACTTGCGCGCGAGTGCCATTGTATGGAGCTTTACACACACGTGAGTAATTTTCGACAAAACGTGCAATTGGTGTTTTAATACTCCAATTAAATTGTTAAATATAGAAGCGAACATTTGCTATATATTTTTTTTATTCTTTAAACAGTGTATACAAATCGTTGAGAGGATTCAACGATTGGGCTTGACGCGGGAAGAGTACTATGTCCTGAAAGCGTTGATCTTAGCGAATAGTGACGCCAGATCCGACGAGCCGCAGGCTCTCTATCGTTTCCGAGACTCTATCTTGAATTCCCTGTCGGACTGCGTCGCGGCTGTGAGACCTGGCCAGGCTCTCCGCGCTACGCAGAACATGTTCCTAGTGCTGCCCAGTCTCAGACAGGCCGACGGGATCGTCAGACGATTTTGGTCCAGTGTGTACAGAACGGGCAAAGTACCGATGAACAAGCTGTTTGAGGAGATGCTGGAGAACGTTTGCTATCGATGAGATACATGTAGTCGCAGATTCGATAACTCAATGAGATTCATCACCATAGTAATGCCGCTTATTGTAAGTTGATGATTACCAACATGGTATCAACATGATTGTTATTATGTAACATCGACACGGAGACATGCCGCTTCGACATGCCGTTGTGGTGCTGAAGACGCCAGTGAGTGGTAGTGTGTGGGAGGAATCATGCGAAACACAGAGTTATCGGTCTTTCTTCACAATTCGTTTTATTTTCTAATAAACTCACAAATCTTTATTTTCTTTTTTTTTTTTTGTCGTACGCAAAAAAAGATTGAGAGTGGAAGTTTGGCCAGTGTTTCCGGCGTGAAGATCGCCGTGAAAATCGCTCTAGAACGAGTGGGAGCATAGTCTTTGTCCTAAGTATCCAAACTTTCCATTTTTGAGTACCCCATTTACAGGTACGGAAAGAAAGCGGGAAAGAAAGAAAGAAAAGAAAGATAAATGTAACTTTTACGTAGGAACATGCAGTACAAGATGCGAGAAGACTTTTTCAGAGTACTCATCTTAGGATAGGCGTACGGAAGCCAATAATCGGCTTTATTATCGAATTACCAAATAAAGCGTTTCCGTTTGATCATCACGATCGCAATTTATCGAATGTAGAAAATCAGGTAAGATATAGTAACTGTGGGTGTTTAACGTTGTACTAATAAGATCGCTGGTATTAAAAATCAACAATCAAAATTATTCTTAACGGCATTTTCTCTTGATTTTACTATTTTCTCGATCATTTTTTTTAATTTTTTTTTTTTTTTTTTTTAAATTTAATATATTCTATCGGGAGCGAATTAGAGTTCTCCTGTGTGTTTCTCAGCGCGATGTACATGCCTCGTTTGCAATAGCACTTGTAATTATAATAGCTTAAATGTGAGGATGAATTGATTACCGTTATAATCAATATATTTGTGATAGCTGTATGGAACATCCATAGTTATAGCGACATAGAAACACATCTTTGTACATTATCTTAGAATACATCTTTGTACAATATACGCGAGATCAGGTTATATGTGTATAACGTGCGAGGATTACGAACGGAAGGGAGATAGTGGAAAAATGGTTGAATTGTTTCTCAATCAGGAATATGCTGCCAGATGCAGTTCAGATTTTGTATTAGAGATGTATATCTTAGGGATGGATTATTGATCAGGTTGCCAATAACTGGCAAAATTGCCATATTGCCACGGTTTTGTGGACGGTAGAAATGTTTACCCGGTTGTTAAAAATCGCGATGTGTTGTTTAGCCGTGCCACACAAGAGAAAAAAAAAAGCAGGAAAATATAATACTACTATAATTATTAATATTATTATTTTTATGATCACATTATTATTACTATTACGATTATTATATTAATATACGATTAATATTATTATTATTAATATTATCGCTATTATTATTATTATATGTATTCAGGGATTTTTATTATGTAGAGAGTTGTCACTAATTATTGTTACGAAAATCAGCGAGCAGGTTTATGCGCATATCATCTTTGCGTTGATGCGCGATTGTAATTATATCTTTCATCACGATTTTTAAAGAGAGAACGAGCCACATAGTGATTTTTATGGAATTTTGTTTGAGGATTCGTTGATTACGAGCTTGCAACGGTTTTTATCAATTTCGAGATGTCGCTCATAACTCATTGCTTACATTGTTGCGGAAAAACATATTAATTATATATATTAATATATATAATATAATATATTAATTATATTAATATAATATATTAATTATATTAATATAAATATATTAATTATATTAATATAATAAATATTATATAAATTATATATATAATTAATTATATATATATTATTTATTTAGCGAATTAATTAATTAATTTTGGAATTAAAGTGGAATTGTAATAAGCGAACTATGAAGGCGGCTATTGTCCAGCAATTGAATTTAATTATTTATTAGGATTAAAATTAATGAAAGCCGATATATCAAATTAAAATCGAAAAAAGTAGAAATTTGTTCAATCTTTCATCTGGATATCGAACTGATAAAATCCGTGTGGGTTTCGTATTTACATCACGAGACTATCGTCATACGTATAGAGTGCAATAAAGTCAGGGCACCCACTTTGATTTTTCTTCTTAATAATAATAAGATGGCATCGTTCTTTTTACTTTTCCTTCATTGTCACAATTGTCCCATTTTCTGTTCATAACTCATCAATATCTTTTTTCTTTTATTCCTGTCTACATTTAAATCTGTGGAAAATTATTTGTGGCACTCAAGCTCACATTATATATTTCGCACTCGCTACTTTTCATTTCGTCAATCCGTCAATTTTTCTTTTATTGCAATTTTTAATTAGTGCAATAAAAATTTAAAAAAATAAAAAAATAAAAAAGAATCGGAAACAAAATTGACCGTTGTGATGCGAAATCTTTTACATATTTTATTGTAGTCGTTTTCAAGTTGGTTTTCTAGCCGACTATATTAGCCGTCTCGCAAATAATTTGAAACGATTATTATAATGTCTTTTTTTTCTATCTTCACAAAAAACAATATATAGAAATTAATGGAATTTGTCCATACTTTTTCAAATTTTTTCAAATTTAAATCGAAGATAGGATTCGCTCCAGACGAGCTCCAGAATTTTATTTTGTAGAGAATTCATGTTTCGCCATGTTATATATGTTAAATGCATTTCAGAATCATTAAGGTTTAATCCTTCGAAAAAAGGCTTTTTTCTAATAACATCCTCTTTGTAACGCGATAACGATGTTTTTGTTCTCGTTTCTTCTCGTTTTCATTTTGAAGCCATCGAGCTTTCCCATTTAACTGTGATATTCGCGTTACTGGGCGCATCAATCATTGGAATTAATCCGTAGCGTGTTTCTTTCTTAATTCTTTTGTTATTAAATACGCGTTTCGTCCCCTCGTTTAAGAAAAAAAAAATAAACATTAGGTCACTTTTGCGAAATATTTTTTTTGTGCAATACGCCGTCGATTTTTATCCATACTATTCTTTTTTTGTCTTTCGCATTAATTTCTGCGAACCAATAAACTATACCTCGATGCATAAACTATTCCTCAATTCCTGTTGCTTCCTGGCAAGTTTACAATCAATTAGTAATAATTGTGCAACTCCTGCTACTTGATATCGCAAAGTTACCCTCTAATCGCGCCGGCGCGATGGACATAGAAAGATTTTAACGATGCTAAGGTGTGCATTAGAGCAAATATTTTCGCGTGCGTTGCTTCATCGAAAAAGGATAAAAAAAGGGAGGGGGGGCAAAAAGAAAAGAGAAAGCGTAAGGTATTTTTATGCAACTGACCTTTATGTGTGCCGCTGGATTATGAAGTTACATACTTTTTCGAGCATTTTCTTTGTACAATATATAATCACCGATTCGCCGTGGCGGTAGAATCGTAGTCTCAGGGTTGCAAACAAGCAAACACGATACAAAAACCTAGACACATACAAATAGTTAAGCATACGAATATATTTGTCAGACATTATAAACTGTAGCGATAACGATAGATTTAATAAGGAGAAGAATAGTACGTTAAAAAAAAAAAAGGCAGTATATCGCGTAACACAAAGTTCGCAGATTACGAAGGCAAGAACTATTTATTACGGTAATGAAAGGAGAGCCAAGATAGGAGAGAGATGGAATTACTAATAAAAATATAATCGTTACGCTAAAGTGATAAATGGGACGATTAAGCTATTCAATGGAGAAGGCGTATTCTCAAATTGCCGAATTTTGTTAAACTCGCGAACTCAGATTGACTTGAAAATTTCCAGCTTCCTTCGGATACGCCCGAGATAAAGATAAGGGTTTGTTATTTCATTGAGATCTCGTATTAGAGGATGGTTAAGGCTACGTGTAATTTATCGTTATGTATGACAAAAATTTACTCGAGATACGGCGAAGATATCTTTTCGTGAAAGAATATGTGATGTGATGTGACTTTCTTTTTGCGTTATCCGATACGAGGATATAGCGATTCTTTGGCGTCGATAAAATTCTCGTGATTACGTAAGTTTCTTCGGCAATAGATCTATTCTTGCTCCGTTGATTTACGTTACACAAGAGCACGTCTATATATCAAAAAAATGTATTACGAATAATTACATATATATAAACATACACACGATATGTACGAAACGGCGAGAAATATGGGCGTTGCGTTTTGAGATCTTTTTATATTTGTAAAAAAAAAAAAAAAAAATAACCGTCTAACAACACAGGCTTGAATGATCACGCTGCGGTCTCCTCAAGTTTTTTAATGATTGTAATATAAAGTCGAGCGAAATTGTTAAATTTGTTCGTTTAGTTTCATGTCTTTCCTCTTATGAATCATCACTTTTGTCTCAAGTCCGTCGATATAATTCGCGCCTGTATGGGAAGAGAGAGAGAGAGAGAGAGAGAGAGAGAGAGAGAGAGAGAGAGAGAGAGAGAGAGAGGGAGAGGGAGAGAAAGAGAGAGAAATGCTGCTTCTACGATGATTATAAATATGTACGTAGCTACTTTGTAATTATATCGTGGTAGATTCTCTCTATACATGATTTTTATATGTGCGCATATACTGAGAAAGTGCAGTATAGTTCGGTGTACCTAACAAAAACAAGAAGAAAAAAAAAGAAAAAAACAGTGAGGCCGAAGATAATAATAGCATCAATGTTGTCGATGCGATATAATTGGAAGCGCATCGCGAAATTTCGTAACGCGTGTAATTAAAATAGTTTGTATGAGAGAGAAAAAGAGCGAGAGCGAGAGAGAGAGAGAGAGAGAGAGAGAGAAAGTGTGCGCGCGTGTGTTAATTAAGATGACGATATCTACAACGAGATGCAAAAAATAAAGCAACAAAGATACGCTGTATGGAACTACCTCGGTAATAGTGTCTTCGTTCATTATTCCTTTAATATTGTCCACATACATAATTAATTTATAAAAATTTAAATGCACGTTTTCCTGGTTTTTTTTCGGCGATGAAATTTTTTCATGAAGATCTGAGCAAAAGAGAGAGAGACAGAAGCATCAATAATGCTGAAGCGATTGAAAATTCTGCTTTGTTCGCGCATCAAGTTGCGAATATAACGAGATTATTCTTCATTTAATATCAAGCAGAGTTTATTTTAACATGCTTTTCGTTCCAGGCATATTTGCGCATGCTAAAGTATTTGCGATAAAAATATGCGAGATGTACAGTAAGGATGGAGATTATTGAAAAATTAATCTGCGAATTAATCCTTGTCTTATTGTTAGTTCAAGTAAAAAGTAGATGCATTTATTATGAAATAAATAACCGCTCGAAATAAACAACCGCGCGTGACTTAATATATCTATTTTGATAAAGGAACTTTCCGGATGCCAAATTAGCTGATGTATTGCATTGTAGTGTCGGAAGTGCTTTCGCGCATTCTCGCACGGACGTTATCGCGCTAATCTCGCGCGTGGGATCAAGTGCGGCTCTCACTTTACAAGAGGCGAATTGCCTTATATTTCACGAGCATCGAATGTGCAAACGAGTTACTAACATATCTGCATGTTTGAAAAAGTGTTGATCTTAACGGAACGAAGTATGCGCCGTGGCTCGTGCGATCAGTCCGCGCGAAAACCATGCCGCGAGAAGTGCCATTGTACACGCTATTATATGTTCCTCTCCTCTTTTGCACGACGATTATTTTGAACGGTAAATATGAAGCATTGTTTTATGTGAATGAAAAAAACAATGTAATATATCAAATTTTAATCAATTCAATAAGTCGAAAAAAATATATTTGCATCAAAATGTGAATTACAAATTGCGTAGAAAAATATCGTCAGAGTTTAAATACTGATCAGTTAATGTTGGTATTTTCGAATGAAACTATGAAATACAATTGAAGATTTATTTTTATCTTGGTTTTGTATTTTTAAAAATGTAGACTATATGCTTAGGAGTTTATTGAGAAATTTCCTCAATTTTTTAACATTTGTTTTTTTTTAATAAAAAAAAAAGCGAATTGGACGATTTGGGATAGATTTTTCAATTTATTTATTTTTTTTTACAGTGAGATGCGTTAGTAGCTTTTCAGATAACTGTCTGGAGCTGGTCGAGTTCGATGTCGACGAGATTGAGAATCATTTGTCAAAGTTAAATCTCACGGATGTGCCTACCGTGAAGATGATGACTGCCGGATTTAAATGTCCGATTTCCGCTTTGCCTTTCGGCGCGCTGAAATCAGACTGGTCCAGACTCCTGCTGCTTCAAGAAGCTCAGCCTGACGGGTCGATTATCAAGTCTAAACTCATCCGGCTAATGCGAATTCTGATAGTTGCTTATTTCCAGATGGAAGAACGTTTCGACGACGTGATAAGCTCTGACACGGCAATTCCAAAGTAAGTTAAGCGAGAATAATCAATAAAGCATAATTTTTATTGACAATGTGATAATGTGATAGATTTTAATAACAGTAAGTGCATAGTTATACATTATAACACTGTCATATTCAACGCTTGTATTTCTCATTTTAACTAAAATTAATTTGTGCATTTAAAATTTTCAATGTAGATGTTATCATGTATAACTGTACATAAAATTTCAATTGCGTTAAATTAAAAGACCGCTCGATATTAAATAAAGAATAAAATAATATTATATTTGTAATTGGATGTAAATTTTACGGTAGCGAGGAGAATAAATTCTGATCCAGATTTTGATTCCGAGGCATATTCTGTTTGCGATGGCATGGTTGTTGATAGCTTAGATTTATGAGATTTTATTATAGCATATTTCCAATAATTATTCTCTTGTTTCGAGCGATCATATATATACATACATTGCAGTGATATATATTAAAATAATATACGTTATCTAAATATTTGATTCCCAAAGCGTGACGAAAGTTTCGCGAAAACTCTAAGTGTTCGAATCGCGAGATTCTTTGAAAATGAGCTTTAACAATTCAGCAGTAGCTTATTTGCCGAAGGTAAGTGCAGTTGGAGACACGTTCTCTTGTAATCAAACTCGCTCGAACTTAGTCCAGTACACGTTTCGCGTCTATTTAAGTTAGGATTTAAACAGAGAGAAAGAGAGAGAGAGAGAGAAACGAGAGAAGTCTCGGATGATGAATTTATCGAATCGCTACCGTTTACGACCGGTCCGGATCTACGCAAGTTTTACTGTTCTAACGAAATGTAAGATATTCCATTTACATCGTGTTCCGTTTTAGTATACATACTTGTTTAACCGAAATTATAATATTAAATTTTTGAATTACTAAAAAAGTTGCGGTAATTCATGCACCGCCTTAATTTTTATGCTAAAGAATCATTTATTTATCACTGTCTGAAATTAATAAATTGATTTCAGAAAACCTTCGAGAGAAACGTTGGTGACTGTGTCGAATACAGACGATAAAAATAAACTATACAGCTCCAATATCGATTATCTCCGGACAACCGAGACTTCAAATTATGACGTGAATTCATATACATATTCGACACTGACTGACAAGAATGACAATATGGAAATAAAATTGAGTTCTATAGCAGAAATCGTGGTAGCAAGAAATTCTTCGAATGAAACAACTACTATTGTGCCGTTCAACGTGACACATGAGAATGTCACGTCATCGACAGATCTTAATGTGACTATTACGGCGCCTTTTTCCAGTGGCGCATTTGACGTAAAAAAAGCTTCGTCCAAGATAATTGCAATTGATAATTGTTTGAAGCAGCCTTTCAAGGATATCGTGCGGAAGAATCAGAATCGCAAGCGCAGCAAAGTTTACGAGACGTTGAAAAATAAAGCGAAACATACGGAGCGCGCGGCGCAGAACGATAATAAAATTAATTATAAGAAAAATCGCACTAGAATAACACCGCCGCCGAACGAGTTTTGGCAACACGTAACGTTTCCTCCGGTAAATGTATCTACGAGTGCGCGAACTCATCAAATGGGATTAAATGGGTTTAAAGCGAGCGGTCAAAAGTCACGAGCGAAAACGCGCGAGCTTGAAAAGCTTTACGAAAACTACGGCCGATTTTTATGGCGCTGATGAGAATGAAGAAAATGAGAAGTGTGAGTATCTTTTAAAATTCTTCCACGCAATTTCCAGTTTTTTACGCGAATTGGGATATAATCTTTTTATTTACAGAACGATAATTTTATTAATTAACTCTTCTACATATTTTCAGAAGATATGCGGACAATAGTAGTGATATTTCGACTAAGCGTACAGGAAAAAAGCGAGAGGATGATTGATATTGTCGCAAAAAAAGAATACAATACATGACATTTCTACGTTTTACACAACGTTCTTTCACGATTTTATTATCCGGTCAGACTTCGCTAGGCGGACAACGCTGGCCCACATTTTGCGGTAAATCTCAATAAAATTGATCTTTCAATACATTTTCTCTCTTTCTTCGATACTCTTTTGCTAGCGACATTTGCGTGAAATGGTTTGTCGATTTTTCTCGTCGATTTGGCAGACTCGCGGCAATTTATCTTTTCCTTTCCTATTTTTATTACTGATGTATTAATTTAACTGCGTATATAAATTGCATCCGCGGGGAAAATAAATAGCGCGGCAAATTGGACATTTGTTAAATCGGTATTGCATTTTAAACTCTCCCTTTATTTTTATTGCATACGAGATATGTGACTCGTGTGACTCACTCCGCATAATGTAAGTGCATCGGGTAATGGTGACGGTTGCGCGCTATTTATTTTATTATCTCATTTTACCGTCTTGAATGTTTCGTACCTGTTGTTCCCATCCGGAGCACAGTTACTCGCCGAACGTGGTACACGTACAATCGACGGCGGCACGTACGATTGCGCCACGACGTTTCGATATATCTATTTTCGATGCCGGGATATCGTCTACCCCGCACGTGTTGCGCGCTCGCGGAAATATATGAAGAATTCGCGGCCCCATAAGGATCGAAGTTTATACGATGCAATGGGATACGGGTATTATTACATTATTCGAGTTCGCGCGCGTATCGGTAGCAATCGCGCCGTGAGTTACGGCGAGTGCGGTAAATTATGGCCGCTCGAGTTCGGTAAAAGCACACCTCACCGTCGCGATTAGCGCGAAATTTCTAAAATAACGGCGAGTGTCTGCGAGTAATAAGTTGAAAACGAATTGCAAATGCTGATTTCACTGTCTCCGCTTAATAAAGCGTTATTAAAGGCACTTTTGCGGCGTTATCTGGAATTTAAATGGCGATTTTTAGATTAATGTAATAAATGTAATGGAAAGCTCAGCGGGCGAGTGAGGGAGTAATTGGCGAAAAACATTACTTTGTTAACCAAACGTAGATCAATCAGGAACGATAAGAAAGTGTTCAAGTTTGAAACTTTCAGAATATCTGCAGCGGCGCGAGAGAAAGAGAAGGCGCAGAGAAAAGTAAGCTGAGAAACTAATCATGACCTCGAATTCAATCGCGAGATTTCCATGGAATCACCGTTCGGAATCGTGGCTGGTTGCTGCCGAGCGCGCGGATTCTCCCGCGTTCTCCCTCCTCCGTCCTCCTCCTCCTCTCTCTCTCTCTCTCTCTCTCTCTCTCTCTCTACCGCGGAGTCCTAATATTAATTTCAATCTACATAAATGCATAATAATAAATTCAATAGCGGCTCTCGCGGATGTGCGCGACGTCGGATATTACAACATTCGGAAAATTCTTCTTGCGTCTGCGACCGCGGTCGTTCGGCAGATTCATTGCCCGGATAAATTCTTTTTCTCTTCTCTGACAAAAAGAATATTTTCTTCCCTCGAACGAGGAATTATTAAATTCTGTAATAATTACGAGTTTCTCTCCGGTAAAATATTGAGAAAGTTAAAAAAAACACACAAATAAATTTGCGAGTGAGAATAAAAATAACGCACATTTTTTATGTTAACGATTGCTGTGAAGCATTTTTGATCAGCCGATTCTCGAGCTCGCGTTTAATCCTTGAGCGAGCAAAGCTGTTAGTCCTCGAATTTCACGCCACGTACTTTTCCACGTTCATCCTTACTTCGACCCTTAAAGACATCGCGATGCGTCACTAATTGTTACCTTGTCACGGGGGTGATTATAGTAATTTTCCTCGCTTCACCCAATTTCTCTTGCCCGCCTCTTTATAACTCCGCGCCCACCCCGGCGTGCAAATTAGCTCCGGGCTCGTATCGCGTTGACAAAGACCTGCGAGATTGTCGTCGCGGGATAAAAGGGAGAGTAATGTTTCAATTGTTGTCGTTTTACGGTTTCGTTATTTTGCCCAGTGAAAGAAGAGCGCGAATCTCCGGCGCCTCGCGATTATGTCAACGGCAGAATTTTCGAGGCGGCGAATCGACAAGTGCGCTCGCACTATTTGTATTGTTTGTCGCATAGAGCATATTTAATCCCGGAACATGGTTTTAAATTAACCCATTCCAACGTAGCATTCGCCGCTTTGTGGCTCAACTAGTTTGCCGCATAAAATTTTGCACGCAAAATTATCCGTGTAAAAGCGAGGCAGCGTATCGGCGCGACCCTTCCGCGTGTTCTCGATCTCCCGGCGCGGTATTAGTGAGCCCCCCAACTATCCGAAGCGCTTCGGAGTCTCGTTTGCATGCCGGCAGTTGCTGTCCGGGCGGTTGAGTAAAGTTTGGTCGCGTCGTGGGCGAATATTAGCGTCGCGCCGCTACACGTGATACCGTCATACGGTTTCGCAATACAACGCGTACGCGCGCAACGGGCGAGCTACGGGTCCAATCTTAGGGTCCGCCGGTCGTTTCAATTTTCGACAGTTTGAGCTCGCGAAAGTTTGTTCCGGATACGAAAGACCGCGACCCTCCGGTTCTCACTTCGGCGATCGCTGTCCGACGATAACGACCGCGCGCAGAAACCTCGCGCGTATGAATTTCATACGCCGCGGCGGATATCCGCTGTTGCAGCCGCGGAAGCGGATCGTTGCGATGGTAACGACGTTCATTTGCTTTGTAATGGTCGCGCGGAAGCGCTCGCGACACGCGGAGCGTAAAGCGGGGTCTCCCACGCAACCGGAGGATGAAACCGATGTGGGTAATTATTTACAAAGATTTGCATCACACAAGTTTACCCGCGGATTACCTCAACCGTGAGATATGTCGCAGCGAATGTTTCAGGCTCAGTTGCTGAACGACGCGTGTGAACGACGGCCGGTGCTAGACGCGTTGGAGATTAAAAATTGCGATGCGGAACTCAATCATCAGAACAAGGTACGAGCAAGATTGAGATTATGTAATTAATTATTCGAAATTTCTGTATTGATTTATTTCCGAATGACCGACTCGATTCCGTAGCAATTTACTTCTCGTATCGATTGATCGAATTCCAATCTCCAATTCGCAATGTTCAATCTCCAATGTGCAGCCCGAGGCTTAGCGCCGCACTCTAAAGAAGTTAGTGTAAAATTCCAACTTTTATAATTCACGGTTATTTTATAAAAAATTACTTGTGCAATCTGCTTCATTGCACAATACCAGAAATTAATTCCACTTACAAGCTGTAAATTTACATACGTGTAGATAATGGAAAAGCACGCACCGTGCAGTTGTAATTTCACATTAATTTGTTTGCGAATCTCTCAACGATTCTCTTTCTTTCTCCCACTTTTTCCCACTTATTGAATAATTATTTCTCGTCGCTCGCGAGTCACGCGTTCGTATTAATTCGCTGTAAGAGAACATGGCGAGCGGCCGCGCGCGGGCGAACTCACGTCGAAAGCACGCGATCGATCGGAATCACTTCCGGGTCGTTCGGGAGAGCGCACGGTACCGATCGCGCGACCGGCTCATCTTAATCACCAATTCATCACCCGCCATTGCCCCTCGAGGCACTCGCGCGTGAACCTAACCAGATAGACGATACATCGACCGTGCTAAACGCGCAGCGCTCTGCAGCCTCCGTGCCGATCTAATAGATCCACGGTACAAGCCGACGAGGAGGCAGTGGTATGGACAATCTCTCGGTCCGGCTACTACGCCCGGTTAATGCCCGTCCCCGGTCCTTGGCGGCGGCGGCGGCGGCGACGGGCGGGACGGGATGCGAGAGGAACGCGCGACCCGGGGAGGGTGAAGTTAAGGCCGGTTCGGGGGGGGATGGCTCGAATTGATACGAACGTTCCCGCTGACGTGGACGGCCCGACCCGCAGCTCCGCTCTCGCCGATAACAACCCTTAAATCATTCCTAACCGGGGTGCCGCGCCGCCGTCCAGCGGTCGCTGCGTCATTCTTCGCCCGATGCGTTTTTCTACTTAGGGAGAATCAGCGATATCAAGAAATTGCTGATTTGCGGCCGACGACCGCTCGGAACGAATCGCGATTCCTCGATCGGGCGATTCGCAAGTATGAAGAGATCGCGATTGGGTACGTGTGTTATTTAATTATCAATTCCGCGCTCGGAATATTGGAAGGGATTCGAGAAATTGGTGGCCAAGTGTCACGGATATTTGACGCACAATTTCTATCGGATAAGAAAATTTTGCAGTTTGATTTTATAAGCGCTTTAAGTTTGATACTGAAACTTATAATTTCATTACTTTTGTTATTCTGAAACTTAAATTAATTTTTTTCCCGGCAGTGAAAGAGAAAAAAATTAGCAAAAAGTGGATAAGCAGGCTTATCGGAAGCAAGATTCTATGCACACTGTAACGACGAAAGATCCATTATCAAAACATTTGTGTATCAATCAATACCAGAATGATGCATTAAATGTCAGCGCGGAGAACAGTCTCTCCGACATCGCAGGTCTACGAGAGACGATTAATGAAGCGTTAATTGCGCAAAAGTATCTATTGTTTAGATCAAGGACTAAAGCCGAGAGCACACTGCTTGCACGCAGCTGTCGAGGGTGGCGGAAAGGGTTCAGTGGAGAACGGCGCGGCGGCGTTCCCACACCCCTTTTCCCAGGCGGAGATGCGTTGGCCCGTGAACTCACCGATAATGCAGAATTATAGTCCACGGCACTGCTGGAACCTCCCTTTTCGAGCCAGCCGTGCGACTACCTACGAAACGCCTATCACCGCGCGTATCGAGGCGTGAGCAGGGGTCGGTTTGCACGCACGTATTACACCCCGGTGATTACACCCTCCACCCCCCCCCCCCCGTCCCGTCCGCCCCGCCGTAACCACGTTCGTCCGGGCAAGATTTCGTCGGATTTGCGGTATCCACGCGTTTATGCCCGCAGAAAGCGGTAAAGATTGCCGGTATTTTTTACAACCCTCATCCCCGCGGCACGCTCGATCGGATATTCAAGCTCGATATATTCGATCGAGTCGGATTGCCGCGGAGGAGAGGGGAAAAAGATACGGAGCAGATCCAGCGCGAGAAACCGCGAGTAATTTTAAAGAATTATATTCGTCCCATTAAGTGATTCTAAGCACGGTGCGCGCGAGTTATG